TCCTATCCTATCCTATCCTATCCTATCCTATCCTATCCTATCCTATCCTATCCTATCCTATCCTATCCTATCCTATCCTATCCTATCCTATCCTATCCAATATCTTTACAATGTTTGTTCGTCTTATTATTCTACATCATTTTCGCTGACTTGTCCTTATCGCACTCCTCCTCCACCATTACAAAGTTGCCAACTCCAAAACTCCTGGGTAATTGGAATGGGGAAAATGCACTCTTTCTTTTTCGTCTATGTACTGTATGGCGTGGACCGCATAAGATAAGACCGGATGAAAAGGGGGGAGGGAAGGGAAGGAAGGGGGGCAGGCAGCACTTGGAACATCACAGCCAATGGATCGACCACAGTTCCGATTCAGAATGGGTACAGGCTGCGGCTATGTGCAACTACAAGACTTCATTCTCAGGCTCTCAGCTTTGCTCAGAAAAGTCGTCTTCTGGTTTCGTGCATTTCGGCTCATGTTGTTAAGTTGTTACTAGGTATGTTCTGATGTCTAGTTTCCAAGTTTGTGGTCTATGCCAGTTGTAACGTAAAGACCTCGGATCTTGGTATCTCTCTACTTCTGGATCCCGAAATCAACCTTGTCTCTATTAAATAATAATTGTTCTACCATAGTAAAAGTTTGTCTGGTATTCTGTCACAGTTGCAGGGATGACTCAACAAGTGTAACAAGTTTAACAAGTGCCACAACAATATTCAGAAGTTGCTGTAAAAGACGACTTTTTATGAGTCCCCTTTTCCGACTATTCTGCGTTTATTTTTAGTTTCTCTTTCATCGCAGGGGGTGATTGAAGTTGAAGCAACGTTGCTTCTGTATTGCTAGGCACAGCTTCCCCTGGGTCTTCGAGCATGCTCAGGTCAGGCCCTGCTTCTTGCTGTTTCTTACCCCTATAGTTTAGCGAGCTGAGCACGGCCATGGGGCCTGAAAATGGCTGGCCGAGATCGCGCTTCGATACGAGCTTTGGTGATTTTATATAAGCTGTTATATTGTCACGCAAATAATGTATGTAGAAGCTTTATATATCAAAAAGGTAAGGTAAGAAATGAGATGGCCAACGCTCTGGAGCTTTCGTAAAGGGACGCGGGAGAGTTACTAAGGTATAGTCGCTACTGGAAAGGGAATTTTGCTGTGGCAGCTCCTGGAGCTTATCAAGAAAGTAAGATCATCTATTCTTGACGTTCACTTGGTCTCTAAACTAGCCTCGGTCTGAATTTGAAAATATTGATAGGAATCAGGTGATCACGCACAAGAATGACTCACTCTCACCTACCTCAGATATCTCTTGAATGATTGCAACCAATACTAAAAATTACAATCAATACTTTCTTGCAACAATTCCCAACCTAGAGTACATACGGTCAAAGTTTCATTTGTTAAAGCAATCACGATTTCGAAAGGGGAAAAAAGCACCGAATGCTTCTTCCTCCCTTCCACTGATCTGCCCCGCATACACTTGGATATTGAGGAACTGCTACAATGACAATGCCAACAATGCAAAAATGGTTTCCCAAGGAGAAAATGCCCTTTTGGGCCACACATCAGGCGAACCCTCTAAGCTTGGACAAGTTTCACCTGTGCCAGACAGTCCTCGCGCTTCACGAGCAAAGGACGTGCCAGGACAATTCCCAGATCCCATAATTGTCTCGCCCCATCAAGAGCACAAACAGACTTTCATCATATTACACGGCCGGGGCTCCACGGCCGAAAGGTTCGCCCCTCCCCTCCTCTCCATGATCACACCATCCGGCGAGACCCTCCAAACGGCATTCCCGCACGCCAAACTCATCTTCCTCACCGCGTCCCGGAACCGCGCCACCATCTACAAACGTTCACTTACGCATCAGTGGTTCGATCACTGGCACATGGAGGAGTTCTCCAAACGGCAGGAGCTGATGCGAGCTGGTCTGCGCAAGAGTGCGGGGTATGTGCACGGGATCTTGGAGCGAGAGATTAGGGAGGTGGGGGAGGAGAACGTGGTGTTGTGGGGTCTTAGTCAGGGGTGTGCTACGTCTTTGGTCTCGCTTTTGACTTGGGATGGGAAAGCGTTCGCTGCAACCGTGGGGATGTGCGGATATCTACCGTTTGCAAATCATATTGAGGATATTGTGAAAGGCGGCAGCGAGGAAGATGGTGAGGACCTCTTTGGCGAGGATGAAAGAGATAACGACGATGACCCGTTCTGCAATTCTGGGGATGAAAATGACGGTAGAAATGGGTTTGAGAACGACCGAATCACCAAGCAGGACTTACCAATGCAAGCTGTCACGTTCTTGAGGGATGAAATCGAGATGGAGGATAAGGCAGGGATGGTGTTTCGAGATGTTCCTGTTTTTATGGGACATGGTACGGAAGATGAGAAGGTTCCTATCGAGAGGGGTAGGGAAGCTAGAACTTGCTTGGACCTCCTGGGAGCTGATGTTCAGATGGTGGAATATGAAGGTCTGGGGCACTGGTACTCGGAGGAAATGCTGGGTAATATCTTTGGCTTTCTTGAAGAAAAGCTTTGTCTTTCTTAACAAGCAGTCTAACTGAACAACTATGAAGCTTGATCCAGCTTTTTAAGATAGCAAGACCCGTATTTCCCCGCCGGTACGAGGGAAAAACGCTCGCAAGGGTTCCTTTTCATCATTTTCCTCTTCCCAAATCTCATCAGCAGCGATCAACTTATCTTCTACCTGCTCAAAGTCGTCACAAAATCTTTCTGCAGCTGCTTCTGTTATCTCCCTAGCCAGTTTAGAGCTTTGCAAGTGCTTGAGGTTCTCCATGGCATCCATGAGTGCTGACGGGAGAAAGTCATCCAGGGTCTGGCTCGCCTGGGTCAATGGCTCCGGCTGGAAAGTTCCGAGCGACCGGATGGATTTAAGGTCTTCTTTCGTGTCTGACAATGGCGCTAAAGCTTGGAGAAGAGGCTGCAATGCTGAGTTGTTTCGGAAGAATGAATATTGGTGCTCAATGAGCCCCCTGGCGTACTCTTCGACGGATTCTTGCGTGTTAGATAGACGCTCGGTCGTGAAATCAAATGGAGCAAGAGTTGTTCGGGCTGCCAACAGGCAATTAATGGAAAATATTGCGCTCTGAGGCGACTCCAAACCCTGAGCTACTTTTTTACTTTCTTGAATGAATGGATCGAATGCCTCTGTGAGTATGGGCTGGAAACCAGTCTCTCGTGTGTTTGCAGATGTGAAAGAGGTCTCGTATGTTTTCATAATGGCTGTGAGTTGTTTCAAGCCGTCTTGTAAAAATTTGGGAGGACCCAAATCTGCTGGAGGGACATGGGTTTCCGTCTGGAGCCCAGCGACATGGTCACGCATCAAGGCTCGGAATTGGCGTAGTGCCGATTCTTCCAAAGTGGATAAAGCCTCAAGGAGAACTGATTCTTCACCGAGTAGCTTGGAAAACGTAATACGGTAAAAGTTCAGGAGGTTCGCGATCTTGTACGCCATGATCGTCTCCTCGTGACTTTGAATCATTTGGCCTATACGTTGACGCAGTACTCTTGCAACTCCGGTGACATCTCGATCCACCAACTCGTTTAGAGCTTTAAGTCCATCAAAGCTGCTGGAAGCACCGTCATCCGCAATCCGATTCCAGGGTTCACTATCTCGCCCAGCCTGGATGCCTTTCGCAATTTCATCTCCGTCGGAGATAAATAGAACCTCGAGAGCTTCTCGCTCACTAACGGTCGCAGAATGAGTCCAGGCTAACATGTCTCCGACATATCGCAGTGGATCATGTGCGACTAGTTCAATGGGTTTCACAGAAGTATCCTCTTGGCCATTAACAGACGTGCCAGTTAGTGCGGTGTAGAAGGCATCCGTGAGTATATGTTCTCGCGCTTCGGCAAAAAAATCTAAACAACTCTGGAAAAGAGATGGACGTTCTGCCAAAACTCGAAGAGCTCTCCGTATCGCTGAGCTAATTTGGGGATTTTCCAAGTTGAGTGTTTTGAATTCTCGCTGAATCCATCTGTAAAGCTTTTGAAACGCACTATTTAGGTTCTTTGAGATCTGGTCCATGACCTCAAGTCCAAGGCGCTGATTCTCCGTCCCAAGTAGAATCTCGCAGTCGGTTTGGATTTGCTTTGCCCTTGTCAAAACGGCAAAAAACCTGTCGTCCACGGGCTCAGCAGTTGACGTAAGAGCTGACATTTCATCATCCGATATGACAAAATGGGCATTGAACGCTTTTAGCAGCTGTTGTTTTGATTCAACGTGATTCTTCTGCTTGATCAAGTCGGTGGCATCTTCGAGCACCGGGGCAGTTTCCGTGTGAGCCGAACTTATGTGACGTTTCATCTCTTCACAGCCTTCATTGAGACTCGCAATGGTAATACCAATGCGTTTGAGTTGCTATAGGAATCAGTCACGGAGTTCGGATTTTGGTGGTATTTGACACACCTCCGCAACGTGGCCAAATTCCCGAATAATATCCCCATTGCTTTCTATGACTTCTTTCTGCACATCGAGCCTCAGCTGCCGCCGCGTTTCAGCATTGTTTTCTACGTTGCGTTTATCGAGGAGCCTCAGCGCATCCTTTATATCAGGATCGGCATAGGACGCTGAAAGGACACTCGTGACCTTGGAGGAGAGCGGATTGGTTCGGAGAGCTTGCGGGCTTGTGGGCGATCCTGGTGGTTCATTGCCCTCGCCCAGACTCAGACCAGAAGTCTTTCGGGCAAGAAAATAGTCACTGGCCATAATCATGGACTTTGACCGTGAGAGTCGTACAACTTGTTAACAGTTAGTTGTTGGAGAGAAACTCGGCCGCTGGGCTGGACTATCCTATATTGGGCCTAGAAATACTCGTAAGACAAGGCTGATCTTTCAGCCTTGCGCTAAGTACAAGCGCCATCGCCGAACCTCGATAACAGTCATTCACCACTCACTCGTGGTCCTTGAGCCTGCAATACGGTACAGGAAAGTAATAACAGCAACAGACCTGGTGACTTGACCTTATAACAACAGCATGGCATGATTATCTGCCGCACAGCATTTGGATCCCGCCTTGTCTCAGAAGCCTAACAACGCCAAATGCCCATCCATTCGCCTCCACTCATCGTCGTTCCTGGGCTACTTTCTGCTAACCAACTCTACCCAAAGAGTAGCTTGTCTGTCTCAACAACTCTGTAGACTGTGAGATAGTGGTATCTACTAGCAACCTTTGACACGATGATGACCTCAAACATATTGTCGCGTCTATTACCCACGAACCCTACCGGCCGTTCGATATATGACGACCTCAGAGCCCATGATGAGGGCTCCGAATCGGATCTGGAGGAGCGAGCGGGCCTAGCCCTCGATGAAGCGAACCTGCAGTTTCGTGATGATGAGCTGGGAAATGCAGACTTCAACGACGAAGATAGCCGGATCACGAGCGAAAGCACAGCATTTCTTCCGGCCGCCCAGAGAGATGGACCGCACGGCAGAGGAGCGGAACGAAGGGGGAAAACACAAGGAGATCGCTCGAAATGGCTTCCACAGTCCCCCAGACTGATTGAAGAAGATGGGGATGATGAGGTGCCACATTCTCTTCTGATGGAAGGCAGCGAGATGCCAGGCCCGAGCTCTCCAAGTCAGCCACGAGTCCGACAGACACTCCAACCAATGAGACAGCCTCCCATACCTGGGCCACCCAATAGAGAAAATAGAGCCCATTGGGAAGCTGCTCAGGCTCAGCAGCGGCTTCACCAAGAACCCACCTCTGAGAGACCGCAAGCAACTCCTCAACGGGCGGGGATGCTCACAGGTAGTGCCAGGGATAAAGCAATGTGGAGGTGGATAAATGTTACAAACCTGGATAACTTCATGGCAGAGGTATATGATTACTATCTCGGAGCTGGAATATGGTGCATCTTGCTCGCGAGAACTGTTGATTTGGCGTAAGCTTTTCTTGATGCACGTGGGTAATGCTCTCACTGACTTCGAGATACAGCACGAGTATATTTGTTGCCGTCTTTACAACGTTTCTTACGCAGTGCGTGGAATACGACAGAATCTCCAGCAGCAGGAAGTTATCTGAAGTCATTGTACCAAAATGCACATCAAAAATCTCAGGGATGCCAAATGTCGCCATTTGGCTGTTTACTTTGTATTCCCTTTTCCAGGTGTACCAACTCATGGTTGATGTTCCACGTCTAATACGCTTGCGTGACTTCTACGAGCAACTTCTTGTAATTCCCGATAGCGACATGCAGACAGTTTTATGGCAAGACGTTGTTGCCCGAATCATGGCCCTCAGAGACGCGAATCCGATCACCGTTGAGAAGATATCGCCTTCAAATCGAAAGTACCTCGGAAGTAATTCAAAAGAAAGACTCGATGCGCACGACATTGCAAATAGGCTGATGAGAAAGGAAAACTATCTTATTGCTTTGTTCAACAAGGATATACTGGACCTGACACTGCAATTCCCATTTCTAGGGGCCCGTCAACTCTTTTCAAGGACTTTGCTATGGAATTTAGATTGGTGCATTATGGGCTTAATCTTCAACGAGTACGGCCAGGTTAGACAACTAGTCTTGAAGGACTCTCATCGCAAACAGTTGAGTGATGGTTTGAAAGCCCGGTTTATGTTCGCAGGATATATGAATGCCATTCTTGCTCCTGTCATTATATTATATCTCATGGTCTTGTATTTCTTTAGATATTTCAACGTATTGATCCCCTTCTCAGCCTGCTTGGTTCACGCTAATGCATCATTAGGAGTACAAAAAGGACCCTGCTGCTATTGGATCACGGCGGTACACGCCTTTGGCTGAGTGGAAGTTTCGAGAGTTCAATGAGCTTCACCATCTTTTCCATCAGCGACTCAACATGTCGTATCCATTTGCCTCACGCTATCTCGACCAGTTCCCAAAGGTTAAGACGGCCCATTTTGCCAGATTTGTAGCGTTCGTGGCAGGCGCCATAGTTTCAGTTCTAGTTGTTACAACCCTACTGGACCCAGAGCTGTTTCTCACCTTCCAGATAACCCCAGACAGGACTGTTGCTTTCTATGTCACTCTTCTTGGTGCGGTCTGGGCAGCCATGAATGGTACCATTCCGGAGGAGAATCTTGTCTTCGACCCCGAATACGCTTTACGGAACGTGATTGATTATACACACTACAAGCCACCTCACTGGGAAAACAGGCTTCATAGCGATGAAGTTAAAAGGGAGTTTGCCACTCTTTATCAGATGAAGATAATGATATTTTTAGAGGAAATACTCAATATTATCATTACCCCTTTCCTTCTTTGGTTCAGTCTCTCGAGATGTAGCGATCAGATTATTGATTTTTTCCGGGAGTTCACTGTCCATGTTGATGGAGTTGGATATGTTTGCTCCTTTGCTGTGTTTGATTTCAAGAGAGGGGATGGAAGAGGGGCTCCGCAAGGCAAAGATCGAGCAGACCTTCGGGATGACTATTATTCTACGAAGCATGGCAAGATGACAGCATCGTACTATGGGTTTATTGATAACTACCTGCTTAATCCTAAGACTGGAGTTCAAGGACATGTGCCTCCTGGCATGCGACAGCAGCAGCAGCACCAGTTCCATCCTCCTCCCGCTTTCCCTGGACTCATGTCACCGACTCTTGGCGGAGATATGCAGACGTCAAGAATGGGCCGCAGTGAGAGACGCCTAGGAAGTCGAGCACCGGGTGTTGGCGGACCTCAGTCCTCTCGGACTCCACGATTCGCTCCAACGGGTGCGCAGGGGTCACCGATGACCTCAATTCTGCTGGACCCGCATCACCAGCCATCCACATCTGGATTTGGAGGGCGTAGTGGGAGACGTACCGGCACCTCTCGTTCTCAATATCAAGCACGAAACAATATTATCGAGGAGCCAACTGAAGATGAAGATGAGCCGAGTAATGGCAAGAATAAGAAGCAGGGTCGTGGATCAAGCAATCTTCATGAAAGTGTGGTCGGGCTTGAGGAGTCCAGATGGGAGACATCGCCCACGAGGGCTACAAGTAAAGATGCTGAAGATGAGGGCGATGGGGAGGCAGCTGAAGGGGGGGTATTGGGATTGTTTTATCAATTTCACAAGGCACAAACGGATGGCAGAACTGGGATAAATATTTGATCTTCAGCGGGATTAGGCAATTTGTGGAGTTTGGGAAGTTTTGGCATGGAAGACATTCGGATGGCGAGTTTTGATATCATACATTTGAATACAGCTATACCAATATATTGTTATCATTAGTGGTTTGAAGCTTATCGGCCGAGTCGGCTTTATGCAATTGGCTATCCCATATCTCCGCGGCTTACAAAATGGACCTGGGTTCTAGATTCCGAATTTCCGGACAGTAAAGGAGGAATCCACATATTATAGCTTTACCCTTCACAAATTACTTGGTGATAGGTAAGCATATCGCCAGCGTTCCCGATGCAGAACGGGGCTCAACAGAGAGTTTCTCCTGTGGCCCCACTTGGCGCAAACTCGTGACAAGGAAAGGAAGAGACTCAGAAACGGCGGGTGATAGCCACAAAGCCACACGGCACAGTCTCCAGAATTGCATCATGGCAATCCGGTACCTTGGGACATGGGAATCTGGCACTGGCGTGGGAGGTAAGGTACTGTAGGGGAAGTGAGCTGAGTTTGTATAAAAGTGGTACGATGGGGCGCTGTACTGGGAGGATTTTTGGATCTGATAAACTCTGAACCCCGGATCCTGTGATGATTTTCGCTAGGGGCTAAGAGAATGCAGGGGCCTGGAAATGTGGACAGGGACACTTTATCAGATGCGACCAGACCACTCGAGGCAAGTTGCGAAGCCGGAGAAACCCGCGCTGTTATGCAACACACGGGATGAGGTAGAAGCCGGTGGTAGTGCAGCTATGTACCGTATAGTTCATATTCAAAGAGAGAGAGAGAGAGAATGGATGAATGAATGGAAGAACGAGAGAAAGAGGTCGGGCCACTACTACATCCTGCTACTGCACTTGTGAGATATGATACCTAGAGTCCTAGACATGTTGCAGCGTTAGCATCCATGAAATAAATACAAATGGACTATCCTTGATTCATCAGTCTTTTTTGTTGTTGTAGATGAAGGTTTGGGAAGTCTAGCTCAGTTCCTCGGTGTATTTACACACCCCTGCTTCGCTTGATTTTTGGACATTTTGCTGCGCTGCAAGAACTCCATTATCGATAAAATACACCTCTCCAAATCACCAAGCAGTCAGCCCAACCTCACTAATCCTTCTCCTCTCCGCTCCCACTCCATCTCAAATCGCACGCGGCCCAAGTGTGCGATACATTCCCCCATATTCCGGACTCGCCCCCAAGCCAGTGCCACTCCACCATTCCCGCTGCTATCCAAGACGCCGTCATCCTGGCTCTGCAATCAAATACATTCGGAGGAGCGGCAGTGGCCCCCCCAATGGCCCAGCCAAATACAGAGGCCGCAGAAGAGTATGAGTACGTGCTGCCATATATCAGTGACCTTAATACCTATACAGATTACTGACTGCTTATCATTAGATATGAGGCCCTGCCGCCGAACTTCTCGTTGATGCAGAACATGGCCGCTGGTGCATTTGCTGGAATAGCTGTAAGCACCTCGAAAAACGACCCGATAGGCATTGCAGACTGATATGTTTATAGGAGCACACCGTCATGTACCCGATTGATGCTATCAAGGTGCGCGATGTTTGCCCCTGGGAATGATGTCAAGACATTGTTACTGACTGCCGCGCAGACACGAATGCAAATCCTCAATCCAACCCCCTCCGCAGTCTACAATGGGATGATCCAGGGGGGTTATCGAATAGCCACGGGGGAGGGAGTCCTCAGTTTATGGCGAGGCATGTCTAGTGTGGTTGTTGGAGCAGGTTGGTACATCTGGCGATTTATGGGGGGCAAATGCTCATATATGTACAGGACCGGCTCACGCAGTCTACTTTGCTACCCTTGAAGCTGTAAAGCATGTCATGGGAGGTAACCAGGCTGGTGTCCATACCCCTCTTGCTTCCTGTAAGTATTGTTGGACTTTTCGGCTTCCACGGATATCTACTAACCCTTGGCCAGTCACCAGCGGAGCTTGCGCAACAATTGCGAGTGATGGCCTCATGAACCCATTCGATGGTATGTTTCGAGATCAAGGGCCGAGGTCACCGCTGATAATCTACAGTCATCAAGCAGCGCATGCAAATCCATAATTCGCAAAAGATGTACAGATCCATGTTCGACTGCGCAAAATACGTCTATCGGAGCGAAGGCGTGTCCGCATTCTACGTCTCCTACCCCACGACGCTTTCCATGACCGTTCCTTTCACGGCACTTCAATTACTCGCGTACGATTCGATGTCGACATTTATGAACCCTACGAAAGCTTATGACCCGGTAACACATTGCGTTGCAGGAGCTGTTGCTGGAGGATTTGCTGCGGCTCTTACAACTCCCATGGATGTGGTCAAGACGATGTTGCAGACGAGAGGAACAGCTAATGATGCTGCGCTGAGGAACGTTAGTGGATTCATGGAGGGAGCCACATTATTACACCAGAGAGAGGGTTTCCGGGGATTTCTAAAAGGGATGCGGCCCCGTGTTGTTACTACGATGCCAAGCACTGCGATTTGTTGGTCGGCGTACGAGGCTTGCAAGTGAGTTTACCTGGTCCCCGAATGATGCAAATCAGAACTGATATTTCCAGGGCATATTTCATCAGAAAAAACGATACTGTTGTTTAAGACATCAGCGAAGCAATTCATGATCCACTGAAGATTTACTTGTCGTTGGCTGCGACTTGGCGAAACATACACCTTAATAACATATTTCTGACAAAACATACTTGGCCACTTCTTCTCCGAATGACCGAGGCCCGCAGTATACCAGATTCAGGATATCACGACCTTTGCCTTATGTGTTCCTTTTGTTCCTGGGACGGGCACCAAATATCTCCGCGCGGAAAGAAAAAGTTCTCGATTTTTGTACATATTTCCTACAACGTACTTCTCCTTACTAGAAAGGGGTTTGTTTTGGGCGGAGCGCGTCCAGTCGCCTAACTGAGCTGGGAGACTGAGAAGGTTCAACTTGGCGTTTTTGTGAATCATATGCATGGATGGGGTTGAGGAGGAGCGCTTTAGAGCTTGCGTGCTATTGTATTTATAAGAAAGAAGAGCATGCCATGAGCGAGAGGGAGGCGAGGCGAGGAGAGAAGATAATGCATGCCGTTATGAACATACATAAGTTCTTTTGTATTTGCGTGAAAGTTGGTTGAGAACTACTTGTAGATTATTATTTAGAAGCTAACAATGATTTCGGCAGCAACGATTACTGCAATAGGAAGTAGGTTCGAGTTTGTTAAAGGGCTACCTTATGGCTTAGCTAACTATTAACCTTTTCTTGCGTAACGGTTGCCTCATTGGCACGCACGTCGCACACATGATGGCTGAGCTGAATGATGAGGCTGCTCCACCACTGGACGGCCTCGAAGATTTGGAAATAGCCGCTAGAAGGACCCTAATTCTCCATCTAGCACCGCCATGTTCGTATCCTCGATCTCATCGTAAGCAGAGAAGTGAGGCTCATGAAAAGTGAGTCGGAGTTTTAAAAGAAAAGCATTCACCCTTTTCCATACCTTGAAATATTCATGAAAGCTTGAGGAGTGATAATCAATCACGACTACCATTTCAGTGAAACTCGAAACTACGCGGGGTATTATTTTGTTGACAGGGGCCTTGTACTACGTCACAAGGGCAACCCAGTTCAACCACCACCACCACCACCACCACCTCCATCAGGATCAAGCGAATCTTGTGAGCGTCCATTGCGAGCAAGCAAGCACATGAGCAACAGCAGCGACCTCGCACAAGCACAACCACCACGGATGCACACTTTCTCACCTGATAATACGAGCACGAACTGGAGATACATTCCTTGGAGCTCGCCACGATATTCATGAGCAGACCAAGGGAACCGTGCTGCCATGATGCGAAACAAGAGTGCGTCGTCGCTGCAGAAGACGTACGATGAATGCTATTTGATATGCTCGACTGCCGTTTATTTCGAGGGCCAGGTATGTTTGGACTCTTTTTTTTACCCCTCTTTGTCAGCATTGAGGAAGGATACTGATGAATTACAGGGCAACGAGGCTGAAGCACTTCGATCATGGCGCTCCGCCCTGGACCAAATATATTACCACAACGCCTACCGCGTCCCTGCCGGCTACATTCCCAGAACAGAGACGGAGAAAGCACTCAAAGATAGCCTGCGGGATATGGAGATGCAATGTAAAGAGCGCGTTGATTTGTTAGAAGCTCTGAAAGCATCACGTTCGGAGAAGGCGTCGGGTGAGACGTCTGCGGAGGAAAAAGATGGCAAGATCCATAAATCATCGTCCAGACAGACGCCGAGGCATTCTTCTGAGGAACAACCGCGAAACAATGGAGCAGGTTATATTGGCAACGGCACGATCCCTGCGGTGAGTTATGAGGGGATTTCAAAACCTCCCCCGCTTCCCACGAGACCGAGTCTAGCGCCCAAGAATAGCTCGGAGAGAGCTGTGGTAGGAAGGAAGTCGGGCGCTGGTTCGAGCTACCGTACTTCGAGTTCGAAATTGGCTGGTGAACCGTCGATGTCGGCGGGCATGCTGATTCCGCCTATGAAGAAGACAATGTCGAGGAGTCCTAGTCCAGAGAAGGGGAGGACTATGTTGCATACGTTGAGATCCAGTGATAAATCTGGCAGGAAGCCGAGTCCAAGGGCCGCACGGAAAGAGAATCCTGTGACGAATAAAGCGGCTGCTTTGGCGTGGCAGTCGACTTCAAAAGGTGGCCGAGATAGACTTGGACGAACCCTAGATGCGGAACTCGATAATAGCTCGACTACCCTTCCGGAGACTAGCCGTACGAACAGTTCGGGTGATTTTACAGGAGGCAGACTTGCATCCTCGGGCCACGTCAGATACGATAATAAGACACGAACATTGGTACCTGATAATGGCCACAGTCATCCTCCATCGTCACCTAGCCCAGTGGATTTATTAGGAGGTGATCTATACGGGGGTACAGGACGATCGAATGCATATCCATTCCCACCCACGGACCCAGGTCAGCCGGGCGCTGTCTCTGGTTCTATGCTCACTGAATCTAACCTACATGATCTTATTGATCTTAATCTCCCCAAGTCTCCTTTAGGAACGGCCGCTACAATCCCCCAAAAAACAAAACCTCCACGTCCACCACCACCCCATTCTAAAAAACCTACAAAATTTGAACCTCTGTCATATCCAACCTACCTCAAGGAGTATCCAGAGACTGATGCAAGGAAGTCCAAAGCGGAGAATGACCTACCACTGCGACGAAAGCCTGCACCGAAAGAAAATGTGGAGGCAGAAAGTTCTAGCAATATTTCGCGAAAAGCTATTCCAGCCACTACTTCATCCCCACGAAACCGCGACCGACATCAAGAGAGAGATGATGCAAGAAGAGCACAGAGGCGAGAAGGGAAGAAGCCGAAGGATGAAGATACCTCCTCACAAAGTCTGGATGATGACACAAACAGCAGTGGAAACCAAGCTTCCAAGCCGAAAAGAAGAATAAAGCCAAAGCAAAAAGAAAAGGAGATCCTTGCAGATCTCACAACACCTCCATCTGGCGATTCTGGGGACGAAGAGAAAAACTCAACGAAGAGTGCATGGGAAGAAAAGGTTGCGCATTTAATGAAAAATCTACCCCGGGGTGTAGATGAAGGAGCTGCAAAGCAGATCTTTAACGAGATTGTCGTTCAAGGCGATGAAGTTCATTGGGATGATGTAGCAGGATTGGATATCGCTAAGAATGCCTTGAAAGAAGCAGTCGTGTACCCATTTTTACGACCAGATCTTTTCATGGGTCTCCGCGAGCCGGCAAGAGGCATGCTTCTCTTTGGACCACCAGGAACAGGAAAGACAATGTTAGCAAGAGCTGTAGCTACAGAGTCGAGATCTACTTTTTTCTCGATATCAGCAAGTAGTTTGACGAGCAAATATCTAGGCGAGTCGGAGAAGCTGGTACGGGCACTCTTCTCACTTGCCAAAGCTCTAGCACCGAGTATCATTTTCGTTGACGAAATCGACTCGCTCCTCTCATCACGCTCTGGATCTGGCGAGCACGAAGCTACGCGACGTATCAAGACTGAATTTTTGATTCAGTGGAGTGATCTTCAACGTGCAGCAGCGGGAAGGGAACAAACCGATAAGGAGAAGAAGGAAGGTGATGCTAGTAGAGTCTTGGTGCTGGCTGCCACGAATCTACCTTGGGCAATTGATGAAGCTGCTCGAAGACGGTTCGTCAGACGGCAATATATCCCATTGCCAGAAGATGAAACTCGGGCAGTTCAACTAAGAACTTTGCTGGGTCATCAGAAACACAGTCTTGCCGAAAGGGATATCCAACGTCTAGTCCAGCTAACTGATGGTAATTCCCTCTCCCCCCTCTTATTTATCTAGGCTAACACGCAAACCAGGTTTCTCGGGCTCAGACATAACAGCCCTAGCTAAGGACGCAGCCATGGGTCCACTCCGCTCACTCGGAGAAGCCCTACTGCATATGTCCATGGATCAGATACGGCCAATACAATTTGTGGATTTCCAGGCTAGTTTGGTGAACATTAGGCCTAGTGTTAGTAAACAGGGCCTTAAGGAATTCGAGGATTGGGCTAGGGAGTTTGGAGAGAGGGGTGGTTGATGACTTTTGTACGCTGAATGATAGTTATGAGTGAGGATTCTGGACTATTGGATTTGGGTTATGATTCTTCTTGGGCTTGAGGACTGGACTGCGAGTTTGAGACGGGGTTTAGGATGGAAGGGTATAGCATAAATGGCATTGCATTGATAGAATGCAAGATGTTTGTTTGTGGCTTATAGAATGTTGTGTTTCTCTCGCGATTGTGACGGATATACCCAATTTGGAAACGCTTTTCCTCTAACCTAGGCGGGCGCATATATTACAATGCCTATGATATCTATTCGCGTCTGGAATACCTCCTGTCTGTCTGGTATATGGTACAATGCTATGTCATGCCGGAACGCCTTTTCTTATTGTACACTCACTTTATACAATCGCCGTCCATCGCATCATAGCCCCCCCATCATATCGCACTTGATCTCGCTCGCCACCTCATGCATCTCCATCTCTCCATACCATCCCCCCACCTCAAAAAATCACCACATCACATCACATCACGACTCAATCCTCTCCCCCTCCCCCTTGCCATCTACCATCTCCATCCTCCTAGCCTCCTTCCTCCTCTTCAGCTTCTCGGCCCTCTTCACCGCCCGCTCCTTCAGCCTCTCCTCCTCACTCGGCACAGCAGGCCGGCTCTCAATCGGCTCCCCGAACGGCGCGACTATGGCCCGTACCACGTGGTGCACGTTCTTGGATACGCGCCACCCGGACGAGATGCTGATTACGTCGCCGGTGCGCAGCGAGGAGCGGGGGTCGTGGACTAGGAGGTGGGAGGTTTTGTTGAAATCCTGATGAGGGGGGTGAAGGTTAGTTGAGGGGGTTGAAATGGATTGGGAAGAAGGGATTGGGGGACGGAGGGAGAGGGAGAGGGGAGGGGGAAGGTACTTTTTGGATCTGGTTATTCCATTTCTGCACTCCGATTCGAACTTTTACCGTTTTTGCCATCAGGCCTGATGATACTACCACTGCATTCATTTGCCGCGATGCCGAGGCGGCGAGCTTTTGGATCTGGAGCCTCATGGTGCCGCGATTGATTGATGGATGGATTGAAAGGAGAAAGATGTGTTGATAGATTTGGATGGTGTGGATGGGATGGGATGTTTTTGGAGGTGTGAGGTCGGAGGTTGGGAGGGAATGCCGATTGGCTGGATGTGATGCGTGACCGTGCTGTGTATGATCGATGGCATCTCTTTTCGTTTTCTTTTTCGTAGACTTCATAGATTGTTTTTGAATGGATTCTTGTCTGTTTTTCATTGAGTTCTTGTTTTAATATGGTCTCTGCTCTTTCGCAGCTGAATGCTTGGGATTTGTCGCGTTCTTAGTGCTTCGAGTTGAAGAGATGCAACGCCAATTTAGGCACTTTGTTGGAGGTCTATGCGACTTTTGTCCTTTGAGAATGAGTTGTTCATTTCACTTCAGCTATATAATAAAGCTCCTGAGGTATTTGAGCTTGCTCAATCTTTTGAATTCATTATTTTTCATGTGTATTAGGAATCGTTGGAGATATAGTGTCAAGTCCCCAGATTTCCCGGTATAAGACTGAGGGAATCCCTATTCCCCTTCACTCCTAATTCAACAGATCGCTCACGAGTAGCCGCCTCGTTGGAGGTGTATTACATTCTTTCTCTGCTGTATTGCAGCATCCTTCCCCAAACCCCTTCCGGCATATTACTACCTGTCCATGCGCCGAGACTGACTCAATCCGCCGCATCTCATCCCCGGCTTGCTTCGCATACTGTTGAGTATTCCTTTTCAAACCCGTCCTATCCACCAACTCACCAAACCGCGTCTTCCAAAATGTCCATCTCTCGTCTGAAAACGCATTCGCGCCTTTCCAAAGACTTCCTCTACTCCAAGCCGGTGAATGAAGTCGCTTGATACCCGTAGCATTGACACAGTCTGTCTCATAGCCAGAATTATGTTCCTTGATATTCTTCCCTGCGTATAAAATCCAGCACGCTGCGGCAGGCACCACATCATCCAACGCCTTTGCAGATTTTTCGTGCTCCAACGCCTCAGTCAAGGCGAACAGTGCCCTATCCTCAAGACTGCTGATGTACGGCTGGGCGTATAGTCTCGCACCGAAGGCATTCAAACTCGCCCATGCCTCCGACGACATCGGTATCATATCCCGGCTCCTCCACGGCCCAGGCAGGAACCTATTGCTCCACAGATTCGGATCGCTCTTCCTCTCGGCCATGCGGGGCACCAGCGGTGAGTCGAATTCAAAGTCATCCCATACAGCTGACAACATGGGAAGATCAACCCAAAACGCACATCCCCACTGCTTCTCATACATAAGACGTCCCTCAAACGGAGGCGCGGAGCACTTTTTGATCTCGAGGACGAGTTCGACGAGGAGCCAATGTTTCGGAGATGATGGGTGATAGGTTGTGGTCATGAAGCAGATGATTCCCCAGAGATGACAGATCTCTTGTATCTCTGAAGCTGTTTTCATAATTGGTGCCATGAGGGAAGTAAGTGAAGCTGCCATGGATGGCGCATCGCGGGACGAGCTGCTCAGGTAATCTGAGACGAAGTCGTATATATTCGCCGCGAGGGGGGTTCCGGCCACGAATGATGGTCTTGGCGGGGCAGCCATTCTGTCAAACGTTTGTACAGTATGCGGTTTGATTATCTGGATCTTTGTTATTTGGTTTTATACATCAACCAGATCTTATAATCTTTTTCTAGCCCTATATTTCAAGATTTGTCTATGCGGCGGACACAAATTTATATTGATCTGCCAGTGGAGAACAATAGAGCGTCTATAAGTCCCGAGAATGGATAGCAGCCGCCCTATCCCATCCCTCCTATCATCCTGCAAATACATAACAAAGTACAGCGTGACACAGTACAAGGTTAACAAACACTAGCGCATCGCGTAAAGAATTACTAGATATAGCACTTTTAGACTTCATATAGTGATCTCGCGTAAAGAATTACTGAATACACCACGTCCCACTTTTCGACGCTATGTAAACCCCCGATCAAACCCCAGAAAAGGCATAGAACACCGGGTTATCAATATATTATAAAAATGACCTTTGATAAATTATCCCTGAGCTTGTCGAAGTCATGGTCAAATCCTTGATATTATCTCTTTTGAAAAGTGGTCAAAACCAACAGGCTGGGTTGGATTGCACCGTTCAGTATAGCATTACATAATCATCTATCACTTGACTGGCTCTGGGCTTCGGGACGACGTGCAACAAATTCCGGATCGGGTAAATATGGTTCTGGTAACGAGACCGCATAGTGTACAAGTATGCGATGTGACTTCGAGCCACTTGTATCGTGCTCGGATTTTCAAAAAGTTCAGGTTGCACGAGAACAGAAAGATTTACATCTTGAAAAAGATATTTGCGGCCGAAGGTCGATGGCTATTACGAAATAATGTAAACGGGTATCTTGTACGTCGAAGAAGAAAAAACGAAAGGGCTTTCTATCGAATAATTTATGCTCAAAGGCTCAGTCTTCAGGTAGCCGACCTACACCTCATTTCCGACTCCCTAAACCAAATTTCCTGGATCAGCCCTTGCATGATTCCCAGTTCCTTCTAAAGGCTTGCGAATAACACCGGAAGTTTGCCCCTGACCATAATCTTCATTAGCAACCGGTCCAACTTGAAGTCCATGGCCAGCAGCCTGGTTCTCGCCTCCAGCATGTTTACTTGCATCACCCCAGCCAGCTTGACGCGTAAAGACGGAATGCTCAAGTTCTGGTCTAGCGCCATTGAAAGGGACAGCTCTGTTGAGTGGGATGTGGTTGGTACGCCAATCCCAGATGGAAGCATACACCATTCTGTAAGCAGAGAGCGCCATGACAGTGCCTATAATTGCGCCTGCGAGGCAGTCATACCAGTTGTGATATTCATCGATTGTAAGAGCACCAGCAATGAGAGTGGCACCAAGGATGGGAGCCCAGATAGCAATCAACTTCCAGAAGTCAGGGTGATAATTTGACCACAGCTTTAACTTGGCATTCAAGTAGAGGGAGAGGAAAACAAAGCCAGCGAACGCAGCTGTGGAATGACCTGAGGGGAATGATTCAAGAGAATCATCAATCTGCTTTTGGTTTCCCGTGCAAACTCTACGATCATACATGATCTGTCTCAAACCGTTTCCTGTTTCCTGGGCTGCCTGAACAGGTACGTTAGGCTTGCAGACGGCCAAGAAATGTGATCGGAGTCCGCCAATGAGCCACTTGATGAAGACTTGGAAAACAGACGCAGCGATGAGGGAGTACTCGAGTCCAATGATGGCGTTGTTCAAGTCCCAGAATGAACGAACTCGGATCTGGCATATGAGAAAAACAGCAATAGGGACTGCTAAAGCGAGAACTGTTGCAGCCCAGATGGGCACGATCTCATTTCGCATGGGGTAGGCGAATTGAGGGTAGACGATTTCGCCATCTTGAAAGTAGATCGGGAATGAGCGGGAGGCTGCTGGGTGAGCCTCGGAGACCTTTAGACATGTTAGATCGGGATAGCAAGGGAGATATGGTGTGGTGTTACTTACTCCCAGTCCGATCGCACCTATGATTGCCATGGTGACGAGGTCAAGCCATGTCACCGTGAACCACCGGCGAAAGGTTGGTCTTTGAGACATATTCGTGACAAGAGGGTCTTTGCGAGTATGGCTACCAAAGGAAGTGGCATGAGTATTGCTGGCAGATGCTAGATCTGTGGTATTGTTGCGCTGAAAGCGTGAAAGTAACCCCATTTTGAATTGATAGGCAGATTGTATAGTTGATGGACAAAGTTGACGGGAAAGGAGTTGCTAATCATACCCTTAAGAAAGCAGAGTTTGATTCGAAGAGCAGCGGTATAAAAAGTGCAGTGTTGTCAATAGTCTCGTCGACAGCAAACTACATCACTCGCAAAATAGGAAGGATTGGGCAATGATTAGGACCGAGTTAGCTAGCTAAGCTGAGGAAGGCGCATTGAAGTCATTGGGAAGTCGCGCATTATATCTTGGGGAAGGAACGAGGACGGAGATGACAGACGCTCACTTCGAAAACATTCCACGCGAGGGGACCACTATCAGAGAAACCACACACGATGAGAGCACTGTTTAGATCGCCAGATTACAGGAAGCCAGCCATTAATTACTCAGTAAACTCGTAAAGTCTCACTCAAGGTCATTACTTCACTTCGCATCCTTGGGTCATCTAGTGGCATCATATTATGTAACGCATTTTGAGCCATAGCTGCCCCGAATTGAACAATCGATATCGCGAATAAAACCCATCAAGGCCTTGTGTAATTTGGATTTATAGAAAAAGATTAGGTTGTTTTTAATGGAAAGGGGCTACTCGCTTATAATACTCCGGTAATCTACCTTCGAATGCGCTGCCTCTTCGAGTTTAGCGCGCCTGCTTCAGGAAAATAATAATGTTTTGAATTAAACTACACCAGCTACATTTGAATAATTACTTGACGATCTACAGTATATCAATAATCGTTGATTTAGACCTCCTTACTAGCAGCCTAGCCAAATTGTTACTACTCCCCCATCTTTCCGGACGACAGATCCCGCAGACAGAAATTTTCTTATCGCATGCGGCTTACAAGGGCAAGAGTTCCGACACGCCACCTAGATTATATGGGGCTCAAAGTACAGGATCGTGTTGTCACCAAATCTGCAATTCTGTACTTGAAGTAGAATTCTGATATGGGTAAAGCGAAGTATTAATTGGACGGATAGATTCTTGGACACGATCATCCACGCCTCATTTGGAAATCAAACCGGTAGGAAATAGTTCCCGAGAGCCGGACTCCATATAAGCCTAGTAAAGGCATATGTATATATAATGTGGAAAATTGGAAATGTGCAGATTTGGTGACAACACACACCCTACCTACCTCTTCAAAAGCCGGCAAACCTTAGTTGCTTGAACAGCCGTACATATGTGGAGACTTTCACTTTTCACTCTAGCGCGGCACACATCAGCAGAGAATGGATGAATCTGAAGAATCCGACCTTTTGTTAAATATCATCTAAGTTATACTCATATTTTCCAAATCATGATGTCTCTGGAGCCGTCAAATTCCAACATGGGCAGGACCCGCCGACGGTCTAATATGGGCGATCCAAGCTCGTTTCGAGATAGTAAAAACCCCAACTCTACAATAGCAGAAATGATACTGCCCTCCATCCCATCACCCTCAGCAGTGATCCCATCTCAGGGATACACTCCCAACATCTCTGAATTCAACACGCCCATATCCACACGACCACCGTCCCCAGTTGGGCAACAGGGGATGGTGGAGTTGCTAAACGACCATACTTCTATCGCAACGTCGTATGTCGCCATAGGCAAACTCAGATCATGGCGTGGAGCATTCGTGTTGCTGGTAACGTGCGGGTCGCAACTCATGGACAATATTTTTATGACTGCCGTGAACATTGCGCTACCTACCATTCAGAAAGAGTTTAATGTGCCAGCGGGCGATCTCCAATGGTTGATCTCCGCTTATACCTTGACCTTTGGAGGCTTTCTCTTGCTTTCGGGAGTTCTTTCAGATCGGTAAATCCAACTTCATACTTGTTTGATTTTTGCTGAGTTTTTTGGTGTAGATATGGACGTAAAACTATTTTCTGTCTCGGAATGTCATGGATGTCAATCTGGACTTTAGCAAACGGCTTTGGGTCCTCCTTTATCCAATTGGCTGTTTTCCGTGCGTTGCAAGGTATTGGTGCCGCAATGACAGTACCCTCATCCGTTGGGATGATTTCCTCGTACTTTGTTGCGAAAGACCGGACTCTGGCGCTTTCCTTCTTCGCTGCGTCTGGTGCTGTAGGATTTTGCTCAGGTCTCATTGTTGGTGGCTTTTTGACATCTTCGCTTGGCTGGCGTTATATTTTCCGGATCTCGGTCGTAATTACTGGTAGCTTGGCTATAACTGGCGCCGTTATATTACCAAAGGATAGATTGGAAGGCCATGAGCGGCCGCGGCTGGACTTTGTTGGCTCTGCCCTATCTAGTGCGGGGCTAATTCTTCTGAGTTTCATTCTGAGCTCTGGTGGTTTGTATGGCTGGAACAAACCATTCATCATCGTGCTATTGATACTTAGTGTGGGACTTCTCTTTGCCTTTACCTGGGTAGAAAAGAAAGTTCGAAATCCGATCATGCCACTCTCTTTGTGGAAAATACGAAACTTTGCTGGGTTGTGGATAACAGGTTTTGGTATGTTCACCTTCCTTTTTATGACATACACTAACTTTTCTAATAGTTACATATGGGAGTTATCAAATTGTCATTTACTACATGGTGCTAGTGGCGCAGGAGATTAACCAGTTCTCTGCTGGCCAAACAGCATTGCGATTCTTACCAATGGGTGCGACCGGCTTTGCGTTTTCCCTAGGAATGGGTCAGTTAATTGAAAGGTATAATACCAAATACATCCTTCTGATTGGGTTGCTTATCTGCATGGTTGCTCCTATCCCAACCTGTATGATGAAGGAGGGCGACATAAACTTGTAAGTCTACTAAACCCGATTGAAATATCACTATTAACGCATTACAGTTGGAAACATGTACTCCCGACAAGTATAATGATCGTGGCCGGTGTCACGATTGTTTATTGCTGTTGTACGTTGATTCTTTTGGCATCTGTTCCAAACAATGTCAAATCTCTCTGCGGGGGAATGGTTGGTTTCATAAACAATTCCAACGATTGAAGACTTCTCTAACAATGGACAGATCAATACGGCGTTTCAAATCGGATCAGGGGTTGGCTTGGCACTTACAAGTGCTATCGTCACAGCCGTCGAAATAAAACCAGGGCACTCTATAATGTCACAATACCGCACAGGTCTCTGGTGCTGCGTAGGATTTGCCGGTATTGGACTTTTCTCAACCTTGATTGGTATCAAAGGCACAAGTAGATTTACGAGGGAGGTATATCTCGTACATTAACTCCTATCGCGTTTTACGGCCGGTACGTTCTAGAAAAAGAAGAAGCCTCGCGGTGGATAGAGAAAGCAGCACCAATTTAGAGTGTTCCAGGCAGTGTGGAATATAAAGGCCGTTCAGGAAAGCACAATAGAGAGTCTAAGGGGCCATAATTAAGGGTCCTTATGTGGAGAAAGGCGTATAATGATAGAGGAGTTAATGGGAGTTTTCAAAGGTATTCATATAGATTGTTAGACAGAAAACACAAAACTTGTAGGAGCCACAAGTCAAAGGTGGCAGAATTTTAAAATGAAGCTTCCAAGCCAGGACTCATCACATCAAAGAAATCTATCAGAAAGTTTTGTTGACGACAAAGGAGAAAGACAAAAAGGGCCGCTAAGTAGTCGCCCCGGTCACATGGTATACACAGCCACATATATGACGCCACTGCCCCTCCAACCCCAGTTTCAAAAGTCCTGGTACTTGCACCAAGAAAACTTGCCTTGCACTTGCCTTGTTCAAAACTGCCTGTCCTGTCCATCAATACTGTGAAAGTGAAAGTGCAGGTGCTACCACGAAGTCCGCAGATTAGCTATACTCCCGTATCTCCCAGTATTAGAGACGTTTTGCGAAAATGTTCGTCCTCAGAAATGGTATGTTTCCTATTACGCTTGTTTATTAAGGATCCTACCCCTCCGTCGTCGCGTCAACAAAGGGCAGGCGCGACCTGCGACCGAATGGCACATTCCGAGCCTATGCTAATATTCACTACAGTGGGGAAATTTATCTTCGGTGATACCTCTAAACAGTCTATGATCGAGCTCCCTCAAGGCCAACTCTATCTCGTTCGACCGCTTTCGCCCAAAGGGTACTCAGAACTCATCTTCAAGGACGGAGCCGCGAGAATCCGACCAACGAACCAAGAATACCAGTATCAGCTTGTTATCCAGCGCGCATACGAGGAGGGCGAGGAGGAGCTGTTGGACGACGACGACGGAGAAGACGCGGAATCTGCTGCCTTGGCTGCTGAGCGAGACGAGAAGACATTTCTTCTTGACGAAAGCCTACATTTCCGATCAGAGATTCGACCAGGCGGAGAAAAGGTTCTTGCGTGGAGAGATTTGAGTGGCGACGCCGGTGACCTCTACGAATTCGTGTGCGACAACTCGATCGCCGAAGACCAGGTGCAAGCTTTCGAGCTCACGGCTGTTCAGTGCCAATACGAACGAAAGCACCGAAAGCCATACACTCTCGCGACTACGCAAGATCTTGCACAGCTCACTTTCGTTGACGAACAACCGATTCCAAGCGCAAGTCCGATACATAGCCCTTCTCGTAGTCCTACAGCCCTCTCACCTGTCTCCAATATGCCCCCTCCAGTTAGGAGCACCGCAAACTCTGCATTGAAACGGGAGAAAGCTCCAGCCGAATCTAGTATTTCCCGCAGTACCCCAGCCCGAGATGACACTCCTACAGTTGCGCCGCCGGTTGGCGAGCATCCTGAATCTAGCTCAGTCCTGGCACAAGAGCTTGCAGAGCTCCATCTGTTTGACTTCCCATCTGGCTCGTTCATACTCCAGGATCCGGCGGTCAAGGCAACAGTATCTGAAGTGGGCAGCTGGCGATACTATCTACAGATTGGCAGCAAGGAGCACCGCGACTGGCTTGGTCAAGAGATTATTGCTGATATAAATCCCGTCTTCAACTTCGAATACCTTTCCTGCATCTTCAACGCATATTCATCTACTGGTGAAGCCTACTCCTGGCTCCTTCGATTCAAAGATGAGGAAACCCTCTCCCGCTTCCAGGAAGGTCTCATGCAATCTTTGTGGGAGCAATTGAACGAGATGAAGTGGCTGAAGGTCAAGCAAGATGAACGTGACTATGTTACGGAGGCATTCCAGGACCTGACGATGGCTGACGCACCACCTGAAGAGGAAGAAGAAGAAGAATCAGATGATGTGGAGGATGATGGCCAGAGGAGTGAACACTATGATAGCGACGAAGAGGAGGATGATGTGATCACTAGAGACGATGATGGCAACGTCAATTCTCAACTTGCCGTGGGATACAAACACGACCGATCATTTGTCGTCCGTGGATCAAAGATTGGGGTATTCAAGCATACCCTGAATAATCATCTGGAGTTCACAACAAATATCTCGAAGGTTGAGACACCAAAAGGAGCACTATTCAAGCCTAAGAGGGTAATGCTTCACGCCGAGGATAAGAACCTGGTTTTACAAAACGAGAATGATCCCAACTCTCTGTACCAGATGGACTTAGAGTATGGCAAAATCGTTGATGAATGGAAGATCCACGATGATATACCTGTCGACACTTTCGTGCCTGAAAACAAGTTTGCGCAAATGACTGGGGAACAAACTTTCCTTGGCCTCTCAAAAAATGCTCTTTACCGTATAGACCCACGTCTTGCGGGGAACAAGCTCGTTGATTCCGAACTTAAGCAATATGCTTCAAAGAACGACTTCTCCGCTGCTGCAACCACTGATAAGGGGTATATTGCCGTCGCTAGTAACAAGGGAGATATTCGCATGTTCGACCGTCTGGGCATTAACGCCAAGACTCACATCCCAGCTCTGGGTGAGCCTATAATTGGTCTCGATGTCAGTGCTGATGGTCGCTGGGTTCTTGCTACATGTCGTACTTATCTCCTTCTTATCGACGCTTTGCAAAAGGACGGCAAGAATGAGGGAAAGCTTGGCTTTGAAAAGTCGTTTGGCAAAGACTCGAAACCTCAACCTCGTCGTCTGGGACTGACACCAGCTCACGTTGCCCAATTTCAGCACGAGACCGGAGCCCCACTGTCTTTTACCACAGCGCGCTTCAACGCGGGAGAAGGACTCTCGGAAACTTCAGTCATCACAGCTACCGGCCCCTTTATCGTCACATGGAACTTGAAAAAAGTATTGAGAGGAAATAAAGACCCTTACACCGTCAAGAGATATTCTGAGGAGGTCAAAGCGGATAATTTCAAGTATGGCAGTGACAAGAATGTCATTGTGGCTCTCCCCAACGAAGTCAACATGGTTGCGAAACAGACCTTCAAGAGACCCACCCGTGAGAGTATTGCTACACCTGCGAGACTTGGTGGTGGTGGCAGTTTCGGTGGAAGACAAAGTGATGCAGGGAGAGTTGGTACGAGGGATAGTGCAAGATACAAACTTGGCAGAGAGGATGTGGTGAATTCTCCTTATTGAGAACAGGAAATTTCGTTGCGTCTGTCGTTAATTAATGACCTTATGAGCTGGATGGGCGTTTGGAATTCAATGCTTGGAGGATGACCCGTAGTAGATGGATGGATGTAGTTGCGTTAAGAAAGTGCGGCTGGACCTGTCAGCGAGGATTTGCACTCCATGTAATTAGCACAATACCAATACCCCCTGAATTACGTTACCAAGTAAGCTATAATCTTACATTTCAGTCGATAGTTAGTTCATATCTAGTTAACTTAAATTAAGTTCTTGTCTGAAGAACCAGAACTGGACTGAACTATTGCTTCGGATTGGCCAGGTTAACGATTAGACTCAAGTTTATAAGTAGCTTATCTATTTTATTGGGTTGTAGCTCCTATAGATCTAAAGGCCATGTCAATTTTCACTTTTGGACAAGTTCTCTTCCTATTGAAGTAAGTTTACTTGAATTTAGTACGATTTTCAGTGCATGTCTCAACACTCGATTTCCGACGATATGAGTGGACTGAGCGACGATTTCATTGCCACTGGTAGTCACAGTATTAGGCCTACAGCTAGAGGTCGTCGCTCGCAGCGTTTCACTCCTAATAAAAGGAAAGAATATTGGGAAACTCGCTTAAGAAAGGGGCAAGTCCCATCTGTCTGATCTCAGTTGACAAAAGTTCCATCCAGAAGGCAAGTTATAGCACTATGTAGTTTGGGAATTCGAAAGAAGACGCAACTGGAAGGTGTGAATGTGACTTGTAGGAAGTCGGGTGAATTGAAGCCGGAAAAGCAAGTACTGTAACTTGTATTCACACCGCCGGCCGCGTGCTTAACGTCAAACATCTTTGACGACTTCAAACCCTCGGAAAAGTCTTTGTTCTTTCGTGTACTTGTAATTATATTCTCTTGAACACCAACGATATTCTTCTTCCTCTGGGATTCGCATATCAAAGCGCGTAGAACGGAACGACCGTCGCTGCTTCCGAAAAAGTGATCAGGATGGAAGAGCAATGGATTGAGGACCAGTGGATAGAAGAGCAGTGGATCGAAGAACAGTTCTCCACGAATGGCAGATATACACCTCCAAGATATGTCCCTGCAGAATATATTCCAGGTCGGAACATCCCAGGTCGGTACATCCTAGGTTGGTACGCCTCAGGCCAAACTATGCCAGGAGGAGAAGAACCATCAGTGCGTAAACATTCAACTACCATAAACGTCTACTCGTTACTGATAATAGTATATTCAGACACTGTCCAATGTCTACATCCTATCAACCCTCTCCTTCACTTTGCGCCACGCCATCGCCTTCGTTGCCTGTTCCCTTCTACTCTACCTCCATGTCCCTTTCGGGATCCTCCCAATCCCATCTGCTCTGGCAGCTCTGCTATCAACCCTCCTCACGCTCATCGCCACCTACCACTTCGCCGTCTCCGGAAACGTGGCAGGGCTCCTGCTAGCCCTGATTGCGACGCTGGCGGTAGCAGATACCGCAGAAGGGAGGTGGCAAGAGGGTTGGATTCCGACAAATTTGGCGTGGAATCTTTTGTTTATTGTGTGCGGTTGTGCGTGCAAGGTTCTTGCTTGGGTTTTGGGTTTAGTGTTTTGATTTTGGTCATGCTGGATGGGAAATGACTCGGTGAGAGAGCAGGAAGAGTTGAGGAGACGAGAGGAAGAGAACTTGTAGTAAGTAGTAGGTTTGGTTGCATTGCATTGTAGGTATCACTTATAAATGATAAATGTGAAATCCATCTCACCTCTTTCTTAAGCCCTGATTGATGTGATCCGGTTTATTCATAAATCCTAAGCATCCTTGAATCCCTAGTCACTTCATGAATCTTAGTATAGATTGACGTATAGACTAAGTCACGCTCGCTCGTAAATCTTAGACGGATTCAAGAGTGAACTAGGTGAATCTAAGCCAAGCAAGAGTCGACGTGGCAGGCGATCTTATATAGATAAAACTCTTTCCCACTTCCACTTCCTAACAATTTACAATACCACTAGAATCCAACATCTACTTACTATCAGTCCTCTATTATGTCAAAGCAATTTCTTTACAAATGGAGTTAAATGTACGGTCTATTGCTATTTAGATGCAGGTCGAAATTTGAAAATCGGGAGCAAGTTGGGGTTAAATCAGGTGATACCCATTCAGTTGCAGTATAAAGAAAGGGTAAGGGAGCTCTGAGCACTAGATAGATCGGTTCCTGTTCCGAGAGTAGGATGTGTTGTTGGGGTATCTCGACTAGTGACAGGGATCAAGAAGCGTGGAGATAAGTAGTAAGATATTGAGATCATTGCGGATGATGGGGAGTGAGTAGGTATCATTCAGGTAAAGTGTGGCATTAAATGTAAGTCAAAGTTATTATGTATCATCTTCCCAATTCAAACCGGACGCCGACCCTGATATGTATGTACTGTACCAGTCCATCTTCCTTTAAACCCCCAGAAACCTCCCTGAACGCCGTGTGAAAACCATCCCACTTATTATAAAGCTTACCTGATCTTAAATCGCAACGAGCCCGCGATATCGCTCATCTCTACATACGAGCCTTCGTCTTTCTCTTCCACGCCTTTCCTGGCAAGTACTTCCTTGTACGCCCATCCTTTCCGCTCCCTGATTGTCCTGATGCCCTTGCCCGACACCTCAATATCACCTGACACGGTCTTCGCATGGATTGTTCCCTGCCAAACACTGGGGTACGAAACTTGCACACTCGCGGAGTTGGAAGTATGCTTCGATTGCACGTTCCGTAATTTCTGCTTGGAGGTTCCCAAGGGGTTGAGGGTGACGAGGGATCGATCTGCATTTGGCGGCAGGACGATGTAAGGCTCGTCGTCCCCGATAGGGCTGTATGGGTCATGCTGTGGTTGATGGTCTGTTTGGCCGTCGGCAGAGGAGAGTCGGGAGATGAAGATGGGGTCCAGGACTTGGATATCATGGCTACCGCTTACAGTGTGGGTTTCGAATCTGCTGAGAGGAGCATCATCCGAATGATCACTGGTGCTAGCTTGAGTGACTGGCAAAACTGTCAACTGAATACTGCCGGAAGTGCTCTTGAAGCTACCCAAAGAGCCTAGGTAGAAAGTCCCATCAATGCTACCAGAGCTGGAATGAACGTTGGTAATGTAATTTCGAGCTGGTGGGCTGAACGTTTGGGTTCCCGTACCCTTGATGGGGAAGTCGACTTTGATCGAGCCAGATGCTGTCTGGACCTCGATGTCGGCAGGTGCCGGAGCTTCTTTAAGAGCTTCTTGAGGGAGTACTCCGACCGAAACGTCACCGGATTGAGTTGAAATAATGAGGTCGTCCAATAATGGATAAAATCCATTGATTGATCCAGAAACGGTTTCCACGACGATGCGCCGAGATGAAAATGGGTGGGAAGGACCTGTCTCAGACCACCACTCGTCCGATAGTTTACCTTGACTTTCGAAATTGGTTCTGTCAACCATTGACTGCCCTTCAGGTTCTTTGACATCTTGGTCCATAATTGCCTCGCTTCCATTAATGATAGGGAAGTAAACATCTCCTGACAAACTCGTAAATATTGAACGGCCGTCAACCTTGATCTTGAGGTCTTCAAACACTCTAAGCGTAAGAGTAATAGCCTCAATCACCAGATTAGATAGCTCCGCATCCTCTGGGAACCAGGCAGTGATTTCCAGGGAAATGCAATGACGTCCTGGAGACTTGAGTTTAGCATATTTTGGCGTGCTGATTTGCAACCTTCGAGAATCCTCATCCCAAGTCCTCGAAATTTCTAATTGCGGATCACTAACGTGAATGTCTACTGTAAAGAATGCTCGATTGCCATGTTCTGAGTCCTTTGGTATCCTTCGGAGTCGAACCTCGCCTGTGGTTTTCACGCTGTTGCTACCCCAAGGTCCATCATTATCATGAGTAGTTTGAAGCACAGTCAAGTCTGCGCCAACCGGGAACTCGTAGATAACTTGGTCTCTTTTATGAGTAGCCGATGGACAATATGAATAGCCGGAGTCAACAGGTCTATCTCTCGACGGCGGCATGTCTTCCCCAGGTCTCTGATTTGGATTCCGACCCTTGATGTTATTAGTGTTGGTTCCAGGGATTAAGATCATACAGGACATTGATTTATATAATCTATGCAGACACGAATTTGCCTCCCACAGAACAATCGAACGAGTCCTCAAAAGACCAAAGGGAAATTAGTATACTTACAGATTTCTTCGATGTAAACACGGCGCAAGCTAAAGCAAGTATCACCGCAAATACAAGAGCAATGAAGAGCAATTTTTTGATAATCAATCGCCTACGAGAAGGCCCTGGCTTATCTCCTGATAAAGGTGTTCTCTCGTTCACTTCAATAGGTCCACCCATACTCTGTGGCTCGTGAAGTGGAAGAAAGCCTCGCTCGAGATTCTGCTCCTGGAACGTGCTGTAAGCTGACTCGTTCCGAGAATGTCGTGGCGACAGAGGAGACTGGTCTTGAGAGGAATTGGGTAACGATGATTCAGGGGATTCAGAGTATGCCGGAGGGGGAATGTTCATTAGGGGATTGTGCTCGGAGAAGGAAGCTGGCCGCCGCGATGACATGCGAGGCATTGGATTATATATGTTGGGCAAGGAGGACGAACTGCTCTCACTTGAGGGAGGTGACGCGTAAGGACGCGATGAGCTGGAGTGTGGGAGCACTGAACTGAGTGACGACCTTGATGTCCTTCCGGTGGTTGCCTGGGGATGTGGTGTGGGAATTAAGGTCTTGTCCTCTACCTTCTTGTCGTCCAGTGATGGATCGGGCACCATGAGATCTCGTCGCACTTCCCCGCGATTGAAGTATCCATCGCTAGGGCTAAGTTCTTCGCTGAAAGACTCGCCATCAGAGTCTTCTGCGGAGTATAGATTGCCTGGGAGGGGCATCTCAAGTGCTCAAAGCTGTAGCCTGGGATATGCACCACGCAAAGGTTTGCCTTTGGAAGTGAGGTATGGATTACAATTAGAATTGGAAACGAGAAACGGACATGTAAGATGAGAGACTAGGAAAGAAGACTGGACTGCAAAGAAGTCGTCAGTTCAGGTTGTATCCGTAAGCACGGAGGAATCAACTCCTAATTAAACGCAACGTATTCCCTTATGAAGTTATGGGGCCGCGCACCTAGGCAAGCCGCAGAACCTGTTGCCTGATTCAAGTTTTGGGTGGAAGATCAACTTGATCCCACCCCACCTATGAAAACATGGTTCAGATAGAGGAGAGGGGGAGGGGTTATCATTGGAAGACGTTGCAATGGCTTGCATGAAGAGCGAGAGCAAGGTTTGGTGCAGTACCTTAGGTAAGCACACTCTTCGGTTCTCGGGAGCTGGTGGACTAACACCTCAAAACTCACCTCCATAACGCGGTCAAAATCTGGGTAAAAGGTTAGCTCTAAATCTTTTTAGAACTACCAATACCATGCCCCAATGATAGTGGGGTTGAGAAGGCCAAATAATGACCACATTTCTCCAATCAGAATCTCGGATTTGGCCTTCTATAGCTCACCTGCCTCGCAAGTCATGGCCTCTTCTCCTATCACGCAAATTGAGCCTCATATTCTCTGATCAAAAACGCTTTCAAAATACCATGTACTCCCCGCCACCTGGCCCTCCCCGAATCCACATCCTCGGCGTAGGAAACCTCGGCCGCCTCTTCGCCCACGCCCTAGCAAACACCCCCAACCCACCCCCCATAACCCTCATCCTACACCGGCCCTCCCTTCTCTCAGACTGGGAGTCCGCAGGCCGCAGCATCTCCATCACTACGCACGGGCTCACCAATTCAGCCGGAGTCTACGACATCGAAGAACCCATCCATTCAGGTAGCGGCATGATTGAAAACTTAATCGTAGCAACGAAAACGTTACATACGGCAAAGGCGTTGGAAGCCGTGAAGCATAGACTTAATGCGCAGAGCACGGTTTTGTTTACGCAGAATGGGATGGGTACTACGGAGGAAGTCACGCGTTTGATATTCCCCGAAGACGCGAGGAGGCCGAATTATCTGGCAGCTATTACATCGCACGGTGTGTATTCCGAAGGTCCGTTCAGGTCTGTGTTTGCAGGACAAGCCCATGTTTCAGTCGGCCTTGTATCTGGCTCTTCTGCAAAGTCACGATACCTGCTTGATCAAATCGTAGCTGCGAAACTGTTGAATGCAACGGAGTTCGAGAGCAGGGAGTTGCGGTTGCTGCAGCTTGAGAAGTTGGTGATTAATGCGATGATTAATCCTTTGACGGTGGTTTATAATTGTCGGAATGGAGAGCTTCTCAAACGGTCTGATATCATGAGCGTGATGAGGGATCTGCTTGCTGAGGCTAGTCAGGTTGTTTCGTCGCTTCCCGAACTGCGGACTAGAGAAGATGGAGGAAATGATGTGGCAGAACGTTTCAGCAACGAGAATTTAAAAGCCAAGGTCTTGGACGTAGCAGAGAAAACCGCGGCGAATACCAGCTCCATGCTACAAGATTTCCGGGCAGGGAGAGAGACGGAAGTGGGGTACATCAATGGGTACATTTCAAAACGGGGGAAAGAGCTGGGGATCAATGTTGGGAATAACGAGAGGATTGTGGAGATGGTACAGAAAAGAAAAGTGGTTGAAGATGAATGAGATGTTCCGGGGACAGAAGAGCCCGATATATTAACAAAGGGGGACATGGATGGGTAATGTTTTTGTCGATTTTCTAGTTGCTGCTTGATACCCCTTCGCTTTATGTACAATACAGTGTCCCCTGCTCGAACCACGCCTCGAATTTGTGCAATTTCCTACTTTGATACTTGGCTTGGGGTAATGGCGTATGTTGGTCGTACGTATCTATACCCCAGACATTAGCATCTGCACACCAATCCCGGAATCCCCAGCCCCTCCACAAGAAAAGAACCCGCACATACTTATCACTATTATACGGACTCGTCTGAGACCCCAACAGCGCCTTCTCCCTCGCCTGATCCGCCAGATGTCTCCTCACCAAATCCCGATCTTCCTCTGCCGTCAACAACGGAATGAGGTGGATGCGCGACCACATCTTTTCGCGTGCGAGTTCACTATTCATTCCCTTCACATCAGTATTCATCCATTGATTCATTGATTCAATCCAGAACGAAACCGCATATGCGGCCTTGGAGCCTAGATGGGTAAACCGTACTTCTGTTGCCTGATCCCCTTGCCTAGCTTCCAAAACCCATATGTCATGACCCCCACCATACCCGCCAGCATGACAGCTGGACGGAATCCTCGCGCTGGCAGATTTCTCTGTGTGCAATTAGCCATTATTCTATCCATAGCCTGCTCCTGCCACCACCTCCTATCCATTCCATTCCATTCCATTCCTAACATCTGCTCATGCTTCTTCTTCATGCTCTTCGCGAGGGGAGGAACGGGCGAATGAAAAGACATAGGAAGGGCAAAACACATACCTTGTATTGCACGGCACCATAGCCCCCCGAGGGCGGCAGATCTTGAGGCATTGTGTTTGTGGATGTGTTGCAATTGCTTGCTCAAGTGCTAGACCTAGGAGTGAGGTTGCTTTGAAGCGGAGCTTGAATGTACGCTAGTGTGAAAAGGGAAGATTTGCCAGGTCTGACCGCTCTCCCTTTTGAAGTGGAGTGAGTGGATGAGGATTACGATTACAACCTACCTACCGTATACTTTTTGGATCGATTTCACAGATAATCATCAAGGATAGAGAAAATTTAAATGTCATTTACAAGAATCATCCCAGTCGCTCGAGAATGAACGCCCCTGCTATGCAACCCCACCCACCTCCCAGCCCTAATATCCTCAACCCCAGAGAAAACGCCATTGCCCCTTTGATATGATGAGGGTATGCCTGCCTATCGCTAAGTATGACAGACAACCATCGAAATATGATAAAAAGAATAGCAAGCAGCTAGCCACCACCACTCTTAGCCTCTTCCTCCTCCTCGCGCGCCAACTCTGCCTCCATTTCCGCCTCCATTTCCTTCTCCAGGTCATCTCCAATACTACTATCATCCTCTACCACATCCTCTTCATCCCCTGTAACACCTGGTGTAGGAAGACTACTGATGCTCTGCGGCGTCTTTACACTCTTCAAGCCCGTCATTCTGCTCTTCGCCGTATTTTGCTTCTTAACCAGACGGCTCGTACTCTCATCACTATCCTCGCCATCATCGCTCTTCTCACTCCTCGCCCTCTTCATTCCCCTAATGCTCTCCCTATCACTGTCGTTTTCACTCTCCGAATCACTGCCCATGAATTCCGCGAGCTCATCGTCGACTTCGTCCCAATTGAAGCCCTTTAAGTCGTCGATTGGAGAGTGCCCTTCGATATCGCTAGGGATGACGCCTTCCGCGTCTTCATCTTCGCTGCTGCTGCTGACCGACTGGCTGCCAGCAGGGATGTCATCTTCATCGGAGGATTCGTCAGAGGCATGGACTCCTTCCGTGCCGCTGGAAAGGTCGCCGTCGCGGGGTTTGCGGTCTGCTTCGGAAATGTGGACCTGGGACTGTCAGCATGATCGCGGAGAAACGGGGTTAGAATAGGGTACTTACGAGATATTCGTTCTCATCCTCCTTCGCCCACTTGCTCATGGAATTTACGAGCCATAATTGGTTCACGATCTTGATATTTGGATATCGAGCCGCTTGCCGAACTTTGGTCGTACGTGTCCTATTCGTCGAAGCGACAAGGTGTGTGATTTTCTTCGAGACCCTATGTTCTATTAGCCACAAACAGGATTGCACGGTTCAGTAAGCTCACTTGATTTCGACTTTAGCCCCGAAGCTTTCCGCTTGTAGAGCGATCTCAGACCTAAATGTTTCAACAACGTCAGCATCCAGCATAATTCCCGACTCCTTGATAGCATCATCATGTGATATCTGAGTTGTAAATGAATTGAAATACCTTAATAAATCAACCCCCAACGGCACTAGCCCCGACATCACAATTACGCAACCAGCCAATGTTTGCTTCCTGTTTCCATTAGCACGCTTATTCGAAAGCAGGTCAGATAAGAAGACTTACTTGAGCCGCGGCATTACAATAGCAACATCAGGAACTATCTGAAGATCTGCCTTATCCCCCTTGATGGACACCTTCTTGTTGTGTCCTGGCTTAAGCTGCGCAATTCGGCCTCCATGAGCATTGACAAGTTTGCCATCATACTCATCGTAAAAAGCTTTATGCACTGCCGTAAGATGTTGTTGCAGATGAATAAGTTCATCATCGTTGTCGTTCAATATCTTGTGTCTGTGATGCGGATGTGGCTCCTGTGTCGCCTCTCCATTCTTCTCTTTCTCCTCCGTGGCCTCGGTTTCGACTTCATCGCTCTCTCCCTTCTCGAGCTCCTCTTGCATGTGAAGTAATGGCCGGTCCTTGATTTGCTTCTCTAAGAACTTCTCTTGCTCTGCTGTTTGCTCTTGTAGTAATTGTTGATCGTCGCCTCCACCCATTCGGACAAGCTCTTCTAATGCGCTAACCTTGCCTCCTTGGCTAGGCTTTGATTCATCCTTCTTCTCTTCCTCGGCTAGCTTTGGCGCTGCTGGAGCATCATCCTCGGTTGGGTTTTCTGCTGTCTTTTCTGTTTCCGACTTCGAGAGCTTCTTCGGCGCATCGGGTTTTGGCAATTCCTCGCGCTTTGGTAAAAAGCTCGAGTTGATGTCTCCGATTCCAACAAAGAAGTCATATGGAACGACTTTGATCAGATTGAGCCTATTACTTGGCCACACATCCGCACGATCATCAATAATAACCACCATCTTCGTATTCTCGGGGAACAATCGTGCCAGACTCTTTGCCGTCATATTGCCGTTCTCATCTCTGCTGATAATTCGATCTCCAAATAACTTCTTGTCCGGGTCCACGATCTTGGCAATATTTATGGCGTATGCTCGAGTACCCATTGTGTAGACGTGTAGTTCGTATAGCTCCGCAATGCTAGCTAGGAACTCCTTCAGGCCAGGTCGCATCTTGATATAGTAATTGCATCCTGAAGCCACGCCCCTCGGACCATCATCATTCAACTGGAAAGACCTCACATTCTTAACAGCCTCATAATTCGGCGAAGTCGGATCGCTCTGCCACTCTCCAACGGTAGGCTCAATACAAGCATGTATGATAGTCTGATCGAGATCCACCACCAGCGACAGTTTCCTATGCTGCAGCAACCGCCGTTGTGTCTCCTGTTCCGCTTTCGATGCCTCTTCGTGGCTAACGCGCAGCGCCGTCTGGTCGTGGATCATGTTGATCTTTGCGCGCTCCGTATCGTCACCCGCGCTCGCCCACGACATCTCTGTCATATCCTTGCCGCACATGCCGCAGAGTCCCTGGAACTGCACCGAATGCGGACACGCCTCCTCAATCTCCACAAAGGGCATATCCTTCGTGATGACCATTCCTTCCCTCAGCTTCCATTGCTTGATGCTGCCGTCCACAGGACTATCCCAGTCCGCAATCGTTGTTTGTTCTTCTTGCCATTGATTCCATTCCGAGGTACTATCACCGACTGTCTTCAGCCACGTGAATGTGTATTCTAAGATATTCTCTTGCTTCTTGACGGAATCGCCCTTCTTTTTGAGTATCCGGTTGATAGTTATAGGATACTTCAGCTGAGGACCGAGGGAGAGAATCATTGTGCTTGTGCTCATGCGCGTTTCGGATCTTCTTGCAGAAAAGGAGTTAGCAAATAGTTTTGCGTGTTAGGAGTAGAGTGAGAACGAGGGGTGAGTGGCATTGCGCGTGGCGCGTCAATACGCAGAATGACCTACGATCTCTCAATTCAAGCTTTACGGTTCACGCAACGCTCTCATAGAATTGTCGCGTGGGGTACATTTTCGATGCCCGCCCTCGCTCAGAATATTCACCTTTGAAATTCCCTCTCTATGTTTCGTTCTTTTTCGCAGTATCAAACAGTTGCGAATTGTGGTTGAAATGCTTATTAAAGTAGGTGTCGCGAATGTAAATAGTGGTGCTGGGTCCTGAGCTACTGCGGGAGAGCATAGGTAAATTCGATGCGAGGCGAGGCCTTTAAATAAGAGAAGCCGACCATGAACTAAAATATGATTGGACGAAGCGGAATGGGAGAGTCACGTGCCCAGGGTGGTGTTGTATGCACACCGGAAACGGTGGGGTTACGATGAGTATGCTGTTTTCAGAGTTTGTGGATGATTTCACTCATTTGGTTTGTATCCCTTTAAAGTACCAACGCCATGGCAAGGAAATGAGTCCTTATCACAAGAAGAGCTCTATAGTAACAAGAGATATAATAAGCAAACGTTTAGACTTCTGTGGAGAGAGGACCCGAGGACCCGAGCCGAGGGCCCTAAGCACTAGGAAAGGACCGAAATGCTTAACACATATAGAGCCGACAGAAGAGGACCTTGACGAAGAACGATTAGAAAGGGAGGATGGCTATATACTGAATCCCGAGGAATTTCAGCTAGACCCGTTTGACACCGGAGAAGGATAACATGACTCGCAGCGGGGAGAGCTGAGAGTAGACGAAAGCCTATATAAAACCGGAGATTTATCCCCAAAGAGGTTTTCTAGTATCTTGATGAGCACTTCGCACCTTTTCTTCCTATTACTCAAAGGAAGGGCCTGCAAATAGGTGTTCGAAATTACCTACCCTGTTGTTCAAAACTATAGGGTACTGCTCCTGGTGGCATAGACAACCCTCCAGCTAGCGCAACAACGAAGAGCAGTTAAAGTACCAATGCCCTTGTGTCTTTGTGTCCTTGTGCAACTCCCGTGCTTATTATTATGCTCTCAGTCATCTGGCATTTACGGGTCAGTCGAGACAAGCCTTCTTTAGCCTCTAGCGCAATGATAACAAGAGTCAGAGTAGAGTCAAGAGAGTCTCAAGTATACCTCTATTAATATTCAGTCTAAAGAGCCTATCCATAATTAACTACTAGCTAGCATCCTTCATACAAATTATCTGCCCTCGTTAAGTCATTCCAATCCTATGCATCCTATGATCCCCATTCATCCAAATAAATGCTCGTTAAACGTCAACGCTAGAACCAACTCCCAACTCTCTCGCTCTAATACACGCAAATACGAAGATTGTCATTATCATGCAGCACCAAAGTCAGCAAAGTCATCTGTCTCCGATTTCCCAGACGCCCTAGACCCCGATATCGTACTCCGTAGCATTCCGGACTGAGCCATGTTTTCCCAGTTATGAATTCTGCTCATTAAATCTGGTTCATTATCGTCCCCAATGAAGGTCCAACTCTCCTCAGAGTCCTCAAGTGTATCGTCGGGAATCTTCCCATCGCTGTTCTTGATAAGAGATTTGGCATACTCGAGGTCTCTGTATATGGACTGTATTGCTGTGTTCACACCGTTCTCCTGTACTTCTATTAGTATTTTGCGACAAAAGGAGACAATATGGGAATCTTACACTTCTAATTGTTTCACCCAATATCTTGGCTTTGACTATCATTCTCTGATCGTTTGTTGCCAACCACAGGGCGCGGGCGAAAGAACTGACGTTGACCTTCTTGACAACAATGCCAACGCCTAGATCCTCAACCCGATTCCCAAAGAAGAATTGATCCCCAAAGAATGGCTTGACAATAGTGGGAAGACCCGCCCTCAAACTAGCACCAGTGGTGCCTGCTCCACCGTGATGAGCTGCCGCATCAATCTGGGTGAAGAGCCAGTCGTGAGGCACTGATTTGACCAAAAATATTTCTGGCGGTAAAGGCACCTCTATATCGGTTGCACCTTTCTTGTCCAAACGATCCGACCATCCTTTGGAAAGAATGCATCTAACTCCAGCCTTTAGTACAGATTTGACAACTGTTTCGGTGAGGGCTGCAGAATTTGCGACGACTATTGAACCAAAACCAATATACACCAATTTCTTGCCATCATCACGAGCCTTCTTGATAAAATTCGTCAACTCTTTCGGAGGCTCATAGTTAGCCCCTTCGTCAAGGAACCAATATCCAGTGACTCGAATCCAATCGCTATAGTCGAGAGGAGGTATGACGACTGAAGGGCTGAAGTTGTAGAGAAATGGCACCTTGTTAGGCTGCAACTTCTCAAGGCTTGTGGGCTGCAAATTCAGCTCTTTCTTTCTCCATGCATTGACTTGGCCTGCAATTGACTTCCAGAAAATATTATCGAACATGACATAAGTGATGTAGTTGTAACCACCACCCATTTTGTGATCAGGTACGGCAAAAGCGTGGGGGTATGCTCGCGTTCGTGTCCATGGCATGGAGAAGGCGCGGAAGTATGGTATCTTAAGAGCTTCCGCAATGTGAATGCCACCCATCGCACTCGGACTCTCGATCAAAATGTCAGTATCTTGGCAAGCCTGCCATGAACTAGAGAGCAAGCCATCAATCCAGCCGCGGAACTTGGACGATGCTTCTCTCAAAAATGAGTATGTGAACATCCCATATTCCACACATAAATTCATGAGTTCGGCTGGATCGCCAGCTACCGGTGCAAAAGCAATCCCATGACCCTCTACCCAGTCCTTGAACTCGATATGCGTTGCTATTTTAGGTTTGTGGCCTTCAGCAATCAAACCCTTGCAAAGCGCAATGTATGGCTGAACATCTCCTCGCGAGCCGATCGTCAAGCATGTAATTCGAAGAGGTTCGGTGGGCTTGAAGTTCAAGATCGATGCTCGAGGGTCATCAAAAAGTATCGGCGGTGTTTCCCCTGGTGCAAGTTCTGCAGAGTGTGGCAGCTTTATATCGTGTTCAGTCTTTTCATCGTATCGGGCCTGTTGTAGAGCCTTGTGTTCCGCACTTGCATTCTCGGCGTGCTCTTTCTCCTCCATGGACAGTATGCCGGATTCCTTCAGGTATCGCATCGCCTCCAGATTCTGCAGAAGAGTGACAGCGCAGTCATCTCGAACATCTGCCTCATTGAATTCGAAAAAGAGCTCTTCATGCCCTCTGATGACGACAACTAATCCGGAGTATCCAAACCGAAATCCTTTCTCCTTATCCACATTCTCTACATCCTTAAGAGGCAAAATGAGCTTGGTCCGAGTTCCAGGCAGCAGGCTGCGAAAGCAAAATGACCTATCACTGATGTATATCTTGCCGTATAAGGGTAAGACTCGATGCAGATATCCAAAATATGCAGCTTGTAGTCTTTCGGTATCGGGAAGTGCAAAATGATCACGGAATCGGTCTCCTGAAATCGCAGCTTGTTCCTCGCCATCTTCATACATCTCACCGGGTGCAAAGCCTTCCCGGTCATCGTAGTGTTTCTTGCCCCCCTTCCACATTCCTGATACCTTTTCAACATATCCCATTGATTCAGTAGCCAAAAGGGTACTCATGCGCTTGGAGTGCTTGTTAAGATAACCTGCGAAGCCGGCTGCTCGTTGTAAAGGATATGCCCCAGCTTTGACGAGGTTTTGTAAAGTTGGAGTTGATGCGGACGGTTCGCCGCCGCCAGATTGTGATCCTTCCATAGAACCGGTCGTGTTGGCATGTCGTGGGGGAGGCAGGTTCGGAAGATTACTGGTTTTGTGGGACGGAAGACGAGTTGGTGAATCAGCTAAGGTCTCGTCATTCGCAGCAGCTTGCGTCTGACGGCGGGAAGCTGAGGCAGAACGTTGTATAGTCGGCGATAGGAAAACTTCACTTCCTCTTAATATCTGACTAGCCGAGGCTTGAGTTTCCTCACTTGCTGATGGTAAAGCACTAGACGACCCAGGTTCTTCTAAAGAATGAACATATGAGTCGGAAGAGCCTTGTTTTTCCGAGTGGCGTCTGTCGCCGAGGCGGTTTGTGCTGAGGCTCCGCCTGCTGGCACTCATACTGCGCCGCCCTGCACCATCGAAATTCAACCTATTGAGATCCACACTTCGTCTCCCAAATTTGGACAAATCCATGCTTCGACGGAAGGCATCAGAACTCGTTCCACTCAATTCAGTACTAGTCCGAGGGCTTTGAGCGGCTCCCTGCAATATCGGTGAAAGTGTTGCGCGAACGTTCTCTTCTAGAAGAGGGCCGTCCGTGCGGATCGGTGAGAGATGAGGCGGAGGAATACGAGTCTCTCTAAGCAGTTGCAAGGAATTTCGTTTAGATGTACTTGTTTTAGGACTGCTTTTGCTATCGGCCGCAGGTGGAGGTACTAATAAATCCTCTGGGATTTGCTGCGCGGTAGTGTCCTCGACAAGAATTCGCAGCACATTCAAGGCTTCTTTGCCAAAGCTGAAGAAGGAGAAAAAGTACTCGAGGATAGTCAGCCAGCGAAGATGAACAGGCTATCAGGGGACTTACCTCATCAATAGCGTAGGTCTCATCATTATCGATGACTCGGATCTTGCAAGTGTCTGCAAAATCAATGATTTGACTGTCCTCTATGTCGATAATGTTCTCGATGGGAAGTGATATTTTGACACTGTCGCCATCATTATGAGAGCGGAATATGATTTTCTGCAACGCCTTAACCCATTCCTTTGCGCTAGGAACACTGTCTGCCTTGAAATTGAAATTCCGTTGATGAGTTACTACTGTAAAATGTGTAGCATCTTTCCCCTTATCTTTGTCCACAACGTTCGCTGAAATCCCATACCGCAAATCGATGTTTCCTGCGGGGAAATATAGGTCCGATGGATTCGAGTAGTATGACAGCACATCGCCCTTGAGTCGAAACCAGTATCGATTATATTTGGGATTTCTTCGACCCGACTTCGCAAGGTATCCGGATTTGACGACTTCAGTCTTGAACATGTCAGTATAATCCAGTAGATTCAAAAAGGTCCAACTTACAGATTTCTTCGGTAAATATGCATAAAAACAAATGTGCTTGGTCGTAATGTACATGTAACCTTGAAGTAATACACTCTTCAGTAGCCAACAAGGGTATTCTGTCCGAATTAGTATTTGGCTTTGCAAACGTGACTGAAGACACACCTTCTATTACATCCTCGGGCGTTTCAAATCCAAATATCTCCATAAGCCTCTTTGCAAGACTGCTGGACCCCTTTCCGCCTTCATCCTCACCATCTGAAGCTCCCAGAGTATGTCGTGGCAGATCAAAACTTGGCCGCATAGATAACTCTGCTCTTGCCTCCAGCATTCGGCTCATGACCGGAGCATGATTTGATAGTGCCCGCGAGCGAGAGACTTCTTTAGCGGGAGGTTCGGAAGGAGACCCAGGTACGGGAGAGCTTGGCCTCCGCGGTGACTTCGAATTCGATTTGGCTTTAGCCCCTAGCCGGGGAAGAGACCGCAGGAGTTTATTCTCGGAGAATTTCCGTTTGTGTTTCTCTGGCTGTGCTGATTCCTTCCCTGATTTCCCCTGCCGGGTCTTGTCTACCTGCAGTTCAGAGCTCTGAGATGATGGATCCACTGACTCGTCCTCCTCATCGCTAGATTGTGCATCGAACCTGGCGTTGAAGTCGACTTGCGAGCCAGCTGCTGCAATCATACCAAAGACCGACTGATTCATCAAAGGGTTACCGCCATGAACAGCGGTGCAATCCTCATCCGCATCGTCGCCGTCCTTGAAGCGCTCTGGGATCTCCATGGTGACTTGATAGCCCTCTTTTCTCTTCTTCGTCAACTTCCGGGCTACGCGCTTCTTTAATTCCCCCTCTGGCGCCATGGTGAACAGATGTTGCTCACGAAGGCTTGGTAGTTAGATCCGTGTCCGCGTTTACCTACAGACAGGTACGTTACTTATCGAGACGATAAGAATCCGAAGCAGTTCTAACCGAAAGCGGCCAATATCACATGCACCTTGGAAGTGACTGTGACCATAAGGTAGTGCAGCTGGATAGATGAGAGTGAAGAGTGTGTGAATTTAATAGGAGCAGGCAGTCTTTTTGGATCCTTTTACAGTTGAGCAACTTTCGAGTCAGGTCAGGACCACCAGAACCAGTCAGTCTACCTACTCTAGGCACGTCCAGGTTAGTCCACGTATTGTCCGCTTTGGGACAGACAACGGATGATCCCGCAGCAGTCAGTATTTATCACAGTAATACGAAGTACAACTATCTCTTACTCACTCATAGTACCAATAGATCTGCATATATTCACGTGGGAGGCGCAAGTAGAGAGACCGACCCGCCCGTTTGTTCAAGGGGGAAACGCCCAGAAATACACAAAACCCTGAGGTTCCACAAAAACCCCAGACCCAGCCCTGTCATGTAAACTACCTGTTTACACTCCATCCCTCCAGCTTTAATATAACCCCCTTACATCGACTGTTTCCAAACTCCTACAATCCAACCCCAACCGATACTTTTCTTACATCCATAAACATAACTTTCCGCTAGCAGTACCTCCTGCAACCCAGTCTTTCGTCGGATGAAAGTGTGCCACAGCCGGAACAGCAGTGATCCCGTCGCCGCCCAGCTGTGCCAGCTGTTCTCCATCTGCGCTGAATAAATCGACAAATCGATTCATATTCCCAATAGCAAACTTCTGGATGCCATCCTCCGGTCTCTCCTGCCACTGTGGTTTCAAAATTGTAACCCAACGACCTGTCTGATTGTTGTGTCTGATTGTTGCTGTAGGCTCCATTGCATCAGCATCCAGGTCATGGCCGACCTTCCACGATCCAGCATCAGTGAAAGAATGAATCTTTATGGTATCATCGTACGATGAAGTTGCTACGTGACCGCCAGCTGACCATGACGCATGCGAGATAGATAACCGTGATTCATGTTCTCCCACCAAGCTAGGTACCTTATCATCTCCTTTTCCTTTGATGTTCCGTAGATCCCAGATTTTTAAGGTCCGGTCCAAAGAGCCAGTTGCTAGGAGATGTGGATGCAAAGGGTGACAAGAAAATCCACCAATTTTCTTCTCGGTAAGCTGCCATATCTCAGTGCTGTTGGGGGTTCGCATATCATGCCGACCAACAGATCCTTCTAATGTAGAAAAGATCAAGATATTGGGATCTGTGTACGGGATGGCGATACTCGAAATGGGCAAGTCCTCATTGGGATTTTCAGGCGCGAAAACTTCGACTGCAACGCCTTTCTGGAGATCAAACTTGCGGACAGACGAGTCGTAAGATGCTGAATATACGTGGTTTCCATCTGGTGGAAATACAAAGGATGTAATTGTTCTCGAATGAAGCTTCAAAGCAGTAATCGCTGGCTCGGAATCATCGACTTCCTCCTCGTCGTCTTCGTCTTTGACTTCTGGCGGTGTTTGAGAAGCATCGAAGATTCCCACGTTCCCCATCTTGTCACCAGCAAATACAAGTGGCTTCTCCTGCGAAGGGTGAAATCCCAGTGAATATACTCGCTCTGGTGTAATCTTGATCTCTTATCCCCAGTTAGTATTTCCTTCATATGAAAGTGAGGAACACCTACGGTTCGGCTCAAACGCCTCATAAAGTTCCAGTCCTCCCATATTCTCCCTCAATGCCTTCAATCCTTCATCCGTAGTCTCCTTGACATCCTCCTCTGTAAATGTCCTGACATTCGGTTTCGCGCCTCTCATAATCCCAGGCAAAAACCCCTCATCTTTGCTAAAGTTTTTACCATCAACGACAATATCACTAAAATTTAGATCTCCCGAAATGCGCTGCTTCTTCGCCTTCGCTTGCTCCTTTGCGAACTCGAACTCGACTTCAGCTTTCCGCTTCGCGGTCTCGGAGTCTGCTTCCACGCCCGCCAGTCGAGAACTCGTACGCGTAGGTCGAGCGTCTTCGCGCTTTATTGGGGTGGCTTTTTTCCTGGCCGATGTGGGTTTCGATTTAGGGCGGCTGGCGGGTTTGGGCATGAGCTTTGCTGCGCTGTCGCTCATGTCTTTCAATATCTCCTGGTTCGCGGACATATTTTCCAGACGCATGCGCTCGAAGGCACTCATCTCGGCCTTTTCCTTCTTTACGGGAGCCATGGTGTTGACAGTGGTTCGGATTGGTAGTTTTGTTCGGAGTATAAATGTTGATCGAGTTGAGAGAGTTCAAGTCGCGCGAGACGTGATATGATTGACGCGAAATAACGTGAGGAGCGTGTTAACGCGCTAAAGTTGATACATGGGTTCTGATGGCGAGACCTTTGAGTGATGAAGCGCAGTCTACACTCGGAATCAATGCTAAGCTCGAAAACGTCTCCAAAGTCGAACAATCAGTCTGGTAATAATCCAGTCACGTCAAAGCAGTTTCGCGATCTGAAGAAGTCCATCAAAATTAATGAATGGTGCATTTGCACTTTACGCGTCTTAGTCATCGATGAATCCCTGCTCCTGGTCCGTGCATCAAATATAATTTTCGAGAAAGCTTGAGCTTCGTAAACCTCCTTTACTTCAAAAAACAGAAAACGGGATTCCACAAGCATTTGCCGATTTGCGCAATGAATAAGTGACCACCGCCTTTTAGATCAGTTGCCATTGCTCGTCCTGATATGAGCTCAAGAGCTGCGAGTGAAGCTGTTCCAGCTGCAGTATCCTTCATGTCAACAACGATGACACCCTTCCTCTACCAGACGAAAACGCTCTCAAATTTCCGCTGGGTGGGCAGGAACTCAATCTTCAGCTGTCAATATACCCGTTCTATAGTGCGAAATAATTTCTGTCTCGCCCATCAATCCATTCACAATCGTCATTACAGTTCGCCAGGTTGGGGGAGAGATAATACCGACAACCGCAGCGATCGAGTCCGTCCTGCTCCAGGTTGGGGGAGAGATAATACCGACAACCGCAGCGATCGAGTCCGCCCTGCTCCAGCTAAAGGCTTCATCAAAAGAAAGCCAAATCCTCAAGCCAGGTCTTCAAAGAATGCCGAGTTCGAAATCCCCTTCGAATTCGAAGAGCCACATAAGTCTGGACACAAAAAGGAAAATGGATCTGCAATCAAACTCAATCGATGGGACACCGTCAAAGTCAATGAATTCGGTGAATCAGATGATTCAGAGCCGAAAGGCATGTATGGGAATGAGTTTGAAGGAGAGGATGGGAGCATGTACCCGGATGATGGCGAAGGAGGACCTTCGATGAACCTGCGAGGTCCTCGAGAATCCACTATAACAGAGACCGAGAGACGCGCTTTCCAGAGAATATTCTCCGACATGTTTGCGCAAAACGAATCACTGTCTCCACGGCCATCCCAAGAATCAAGAGATCAAGCCAAGTCGAAGCTTGACTCGATTCTAGGCTCTGCCATCAGTGAACTCCCAAAGTCTCAAGAAGAGAGGCTGAAGATCGTCAATTCGTACCCACCAGCACTACGGCCTGCCGCTGCTAAAGCCATGCAGCTGTCTGGTGGGGATGAAGAAGACCTGTTTGAGGGTGAGATGGAGGAATTAGCGGATTTGAATCACGATCAGCTCGAGACTTTGCGTAACCCCGAAAGGGAACGTGTCGAGAGTTTAATGAAGGAGGCTCGAACCGATTTTGATCTTTGGGCAGTTATGGAAAAGGAGGTCTTCGCCCTCATCCCTAAGCTGGGATTAGAAGAACGTGTTGGCCAAATTACAGATGCAGAGAGCGAAGGGAAGTCGAAAGCTAAAATGAAAGCGAAGCGTAAAAAGGACAAAATTGCGTCCGAAGAGGACAAGGTTCAAAGGTTCGACAGAGTCGTGGCTCAAAGTTCTAACGGGACTGAAGTGTCTGCTCTCACTCTCTACGGGCCGCTCTACCCATCATACCTTCTCTTTGGCATCAGACTCCTCGACCGTTCCTTCGCCAGACCCTCGCCACTCGCCCTCTCTGTGCTACCCAAGATCAAATCCTTGGGAGCTATCTCGCATGTCTTAGGCGCCTCTACCCAACTCTATAACGAAATTCTCCGTATTTACTTCTATGGCTACGAGGATTTCTCCGGCGTCCTCAAGACCTTGACTGAAATGGAGCGTTCGGCTGTAGACCTCGATGAAGAGACGCTCGGGGTTGTCATTAATATTCTGAAAATGCAGGCCCGTGTATATCGCGGGGAGAAAGGCGACGTCTTGAAAAAACTCTGGGACATGCCCCAATTCTCACGCATCGATTTCCGATTCTGGAGAGACAAGATCCAAAAGACTATCCATGTAAAGACCGATCCATTTGGAGACTAAAGCGAGCCGATGCCTGTCATAAGATACATGTAAGAGTATCATTTTTCTGGGCCGGGAAAAACAAAACTTCTGTATTATATCAATCTATCCTACATATCTGTCCAATCTAGTATCATTATACCATTTCCATTCCAACCCGAGGTCAAACTTCAGCCCCTTCAGCCCTCTTTCTTCCCCCCAAAATCCACCTTATGAGACGCCACACCCTCATGAGTTGACTCAGCCGACTTCTCACTCACACCCCCCTTCCTCTTAAACATATCCATCAGCGACGCACGTTTACCATCTGGGCTCGTACCCGGCGAGATAGTGAAGACGCTCGAACGGCGTCGTGTACCGTCCGCATTCGTCCGCGTTGGATATATGACTTCTGATGGTCTTCCTATTTCTACTCAGCATCACGTCACTCAACTTCACCTTCAACTCTCAACCACCAAATGCCAGGTACTTACGAATATTCCCCGCACCACCAATCCCATAGCTCATCTTCCTCTCAATCAACACCCCATTCTCATGCGTGGTCGCCATCCTAACACGTCTCCTATCCCTCTCCAGCAACCGAGTCGTCCTAGAATTCGTCGGAATAAGCCGTTCGAGACTATCACTGACACCCGTACAAGTATTTTTGTACAAATACGCCGGTGGTGTATCACTGTGCGATCGTGCACTGTATGAAGATATAGAGCCGTGACGAATACTTGACATAGACTCGGTGTAACTCGTGCTCCTCGTCGGCGTGGGCGGTGCGTTGCGACGGGCCAGCGAGATAGATATAGATATAAAAACCATCTCTTCTTCTTCCACCCTTCTCAAAAACAACTACACGTAATTTCGCCAAGAAAGGCAAAGCGAAAAGGCAAAAAACAAAAGTTAGATAACGACTACCTATAAGATCTCACCATCCCTCATCTCAGCACACCTCCTCCTACCTTATGTACCGAATCAACAGCCACCATCGCACAAGATAGCCCAACTGACCATTCACTTCACCTGCCTGCTTATTCCTCCTCCTCATTCACGACACAGATAAGCAGCGATACATACATTGGACCTACACACGTCGTATGACGCTGCACCCCTGCCAAGACGGGAGCTCAAGCTTTGCGGGGGAACGCCATAGACGCAGATCGGACCGGGGTTGTGGATGGAGTGGAGTGGTACACAACGGGTGCCGAGTGGTGGAGTCATACAATACCGTTGCGGGAGTGGAGTGATCTGATCGATCGCGTGAGATTTTAACCAAAAACAGGTTTTATATATCTTCTGCACTGCATAGGTATAGTAGGTATGAACTCAAAATGACTAGGCCTTCATCTCCTATACACCACCTACACTCTCCACCAACTGTATGCCCCCGAGAGTTCGAAGTAGTATTAAGCATTTATGAGGTATCAAGGGCTTACCTTCGAGCAGTCCTTGTTCGTCGTAGTAATAGTAGTAGTAAGTAGTATTAATTTACGACCATCGGATAACAGCCAGCTAAGCTGCAATCCTACCTACGGACTAACAGATACAGGATCGTGCCTAAAGTAACTCTTTTTATAGAGAATCAGCTAAAACCACGAGGTGGAAAAGGGCTAGCCCTCTATAGAAAAACCACGAGTCTCTCATGCCGGGGTATTTCAATGCCCTTACATACCCATCCTCGATCGCAGTACATAGTATTACTATCATATAAATAGAGTCCGCCGTTTATAAGGTAGATGCTTCAGCTCTCTTTCAAAAAGGTTCGGATTGCTACTATATATACATGAAATGCTACATAACTTACGGTAGCTATTCCACGGTTATATATTCAGCACTCTACAATCGAGACAGCATCTATCGCGCGCAGCTTATAGTATGCGCATCGCCTCCGGCAATGCGCTTTCCTAGAGATCTGTAGAAACATCATTGAGGTACTTTCTCAAAGCAAAAGTGACAGCCGTCACCTGCTGTGCCCTGCACTGCATCAGACAGTTTCCTATCAAAAACGGTGCGCAATGCAGGATCCCGATTCGGAGCCGAGACATTGTGCACCGCAACGATCGGGTCTCACAGAGAGTTGGGACGGGCCAAGTGGTGGTTTCCCAATCTATCTATTCGTCCCTAAATATGCAGCTACCCATGGCCACGCCCTCTTGCGACGATGATTCAAACGCGATGAATTGGGATATACTATCTAGTCGCACTAAACAATAGCTGAAATGCATAACCATTTGTAAATGCTAAACGAAGCCTTCTATGCATCTAAAACTCCTCGCTATGCTTCTAAGATAACTTGTGTCTAGAATTGGATGTGCCAGTGATATTTCTGTGAAAATGCAAGTGCAGGTGTGTACTAGCCTTTTCTCAACCTCAGATCCCCCGCTAGTATTGCCACTCAAGTCATAGTTCGTGGTCCATGCTTCCTTGCCTGTGTGTTGCTTTTATGTATGTAACTGTTGGTCTGCGCGTATGCGGCGAGCCCGCTATTATCCACGGGAACGTATCTGCTCGTTGGTGGTCGAACAGTTGGGCTCACTGCAGGCCTCTTAGTTTTCTTCGCCTTGTCCGCGTCCGCGTCTTCATCATCTGATATAAGATTGATGACGACTTTCAAATTTGAGGCCGGTTTGGTTGGTAACTTTGCAACTCCCGTTCTTGATGTCTGAATAACCCGATCCTCAAATCGCCTCTTTTGAGCAGATAATGAGGATTCCGCTGATCGTGGAATCTCCTTTTCAGGTATCGGTCTTGGCCTCAACGCTGGAGTAGGAGAGTCAGTATCCGAGTCTTCGGAATCGGATTCTCCCTGTAAGTATCCATCCGACTCTGAATCAGCATTTTCATCAGCAAAGTATCGTGGGTTTAGTAATTGAAGCTCCTGTTTCATAGCCTGCAGGGATTCTGTCAAGTGCCCTGAATCCACGACTTTTCCCTTCACTTCTGTGGAATCTACATTGTTTGATTTCGAAGCTCGTCGACTAGTCGACAGCGCTGCTTTGCTCGCTTTCCCAGGGGGCACAAGCGATCTATTTCGTGACGCACTAACAGAGGAAGAGTTGCCCCTCTTGCTAGGATCTCTCTCTGACTCGGTCGTCGACAGGAAGGCTGATTTTCTCGTGGGGGGGACGATCCTCGTGTCTTGTACCATGCTATGGGGTCGTTTTAAAGAAGATCTTTCACTGCTCGTGGAGTCATTGCTATGGCTACTTGCTGCACCCCCTGACTTGACACTTACCCGGGTGGCAGGCTTAGCGTGAGCTGGTTTACGTATTTCAAAAGACCTTGGGAATCGACTAAAAGACTCTTTAGTAATTGGTTCATCAGAAGATTCACCGGAAGATTCATCCGAGTCTGGAATAACAATCCGTGGTACATCTTTGACTTTCGACTTGTTTGAGACCAATGGATCAATTCGAGCGTTGTTCGTGGAAGAAGTTCTTTGTGGTGGGTTAGAGTTCTCATTAAAAGACGATGCCCTTTTCCCGAATTGTGTGACTCTTGACTTGGGGTGCTCAGCTAATGTAGAGAGACAACTCGAGCTCAGAGTATTCGGAGCACTTTTGACCCAGGCATCTCGGAGTGAAAGCCCTAACGCGAGGGAAACAGTTCGCGCAACGCTGTTTCCGATAATCCGAAGGTGCTGGGGCGGTGTGCCTACCAGCACTTCTGTATCTGGAAAACTCTGTGCTTGTTGACATTCCGAAATCGAAATAGTGCGGTGCTCGTCCCAATGTAGGCATCTTCCCACATGGGCATCGTTGGGAGACACGAGTGTGACAACTGTTGGAAATGGGTCGGTCGGAATCATGCGGCCCCAACCTTTTGCACCATGCTGATAGAACCGCCTCAGCGTTCCATCCTTTGAAATGAATGGAAAGAGTTCCATTTCCTCCTTACTCATAACACCCTTACCATCATCCCATGCCTTCGCAAATGTCATACCGTAAGGGCGGGTCGGAATAGCTCTCATCTGTAGTTTCAATGTTACTGTCATTCCGATTGGAGTGACATGATATGGGAACGGGATACACTGATAAGTTTGCCCATCTCCTATGTCAGGGAGGTCCCGACATGCCTCTCCCGCAGTGACGTACTTAAAAGGGGTAGGAACATGCAAACGTCGCCCAAAGAGCTCCCCATTTGCAAGCTTTCCAAGTCCGCGATGCCCGATATTTGGGGGGTGGGAATGAGACAAGCGTGGATGTTCGGGAGGCTCAAGGCCCGGTGCTGTAACAGATACGAATAATCGACTTCGTGCCTGCGGACTACCACAACTCCAGGAATCTATCACAAATAACCGGACTTGATAACCTATGCCAACAATTGCACAGATCAATTGAGAAAGAACGTCTTCATTACGACCTCGTCCTTTCTGTGCCATATTCATAACGTTTTCTAGTACCGGGTATTTTGGGCGGTAGAAATCGATATACGCAGCCACAGAAGCAACAAGAGACTGATTTCTGAGCCCCTTTTCAGCATCCCTGTGATTGTTCAGTATGGAAAATCCCTGGCACGGGCTCCCTGCGGAGAGGACATCTACATCCCCAGGCGAAGGAATCAAATCAGAGTTCTGTGGGTTTCCAGCCATCGCCTGGATTAATAAATCATTGACGGATCCATGAAATAACTTCGTACTCGTTGGGGTTTTGAGATTTGCGTAGTACGTATGGATTGCTGCAGGCATGTTATCGACGGCCCACTCATTGTGGACGGCGCCACCCTCTTCAAGGCCTCGTCCCAGATTCCCGCCACCGCAGTAGAGATCCATACCCCGAAGCTGTGTCTTTCGCGGTGGAGCTGATGGGTCAAAACCTTGGATTAAGCTTTTTGGGGTGTTCGGCACGATAGGTTTCAAAAGGTAACCAGTTCCTGATTCAACATATCGACATGTGATGTAAAATGCATTCCCAGTACCATCTCTGCTGTACGGTGCCGGAATGTTGTTGCTCTTGATATCATCCTCGCTATAGAATCGGACAAGACACGTTTGCTTGACCTTCGAAGCAAGAACCTTTTCGGTCTTATCCGTATAAACGAGCTCATTCGGCCTGCCACTCCGATCTATATCTCGTCTTCGCCAAAGCTGTCTCAAGATCACATTCCATCTGTTACCATCAGCCTCATAGCGAACAATTTCGTACGCTTCCAGGCCGTGCTTCTTATGGCGTGGTTCCACGAGAACAGTCTGACCAATTTTAAATCGAGGTGCAAGACCCAGTGATCCGCCAGCTTGGCGGGCTCGGAGATGCTCGCACTGCTTGTGATCTTCCTTGCAGGTCACATAAATTTCGTTTTCGAGATAAGTTTGTCGGATGAAAAGTTGTCTTGCGGAATTTGGCGGCTGAGGATCCCAAGATACTGAGACAACATCTAATATTTCATCTGTGGTAATTTTGCCGGTTTTGCAGGTGCAGTTGTCGGACAAGAACAATTCGTTGGCGAATGGGTATCTCATCATGGCGCAAGATGTATCTGATGGCCTGTAAAGCCACAGAGCATCAAAAGAGCGCTCATCCCCATCATCGTGTACGCCTTGTACGTAGACATACCAACAGTTATCGAGCGCTTTCCATTTACTGATCTCATCTTTCCAGACCGAATCAGCTCCATCTTTAGTCACCGAGAGGACGTCACCAACGTTTATGTTTTTGACTTTGTTTTCATGTTCAAGTTTCTCCATTTCGGTGGTCTTCTCCTCAACTCCAGTTGTCCTGGCTGACGGAATTTCCGCAAACAAACCACTGAGACTGGAAGTTGGGGTGAGATTTAGACCTTTGCAAAGTGCCAAATGCTGGGTATGGGTAACGCTGTTGAACTCGACCGACTTGAGATGGTGTCCGAATTTCATGTGCTTGAAGCATTCATAGATATACGGAGTAACCACAGTTTTGGATTCTGTGATCTGCTGCATAGGAATGTGATTCATCTCCATAAGCTCTGCCCATATTGGATTTGACATAAGCTCTGAATCGACGCCCATGGCTTCTTTCCACAAGAATCTGATATTGGCAGAGATCGGTTGCCTGAAGTCCGCTTTTCCGTACTTCTGACGCCATTGCTGGTAGCCAGATGAGGATGCATGCATCTTTTCAAGCCATTGTGAAAAGCTGGTGCGAAAGTCGAATACTGAGACCTCGTATTTATCGAATGTGTGACAATAGTCCACAAAATGCTTAGACAGGTCTGCCAACCACTTGAACCCTGTATGGAAACGAAAGTATTCTGGAGCAGGGGCTCCTAAACGGTAGTATATATTTTTCTTCAAGTTAAGGTGGGATTGAAGCCAGATGCTGTCTCCAACCTCATGCTCGTCTTCTCCGTAGTTCCCAATGGAACAAATATTGAACGGAACAGCCTGGACGTAGTGCCTTGAATTTCCTAGACTTAATACTCCGTCAAATAGAAATTCGCTGGATTTATGCTTCGAAGAGAGGTGGTTCAACGGTCTCATCTCGAATGGATTGAACTTATTATACGGTAAGTAGATGGAAAAGTCGGATAGCACAAACTCCACATAATCATCATCGGTTGAGCCCAGAATGGATGGAGGCTTTCGGCCAGAAGCTGTACTGGCTGCAATTTGTTGACTTTTGAACTCTTGCAGTAATTCTTGGACTGCAACTTGCTCTTTGGAAATGGGAAGAGGTGGTATGTTCCCGGTGTAGCGGGACTTTGGCACCGAAAGCTCCGAGACCTTGATATGTTTCAGGTTTTGGGAATTTTGTGGTCGTTCAGAGAATGGTATGATTTCATGCATGGCCTCTTGTGCCATGAGGTCGTTTTCAAGCGGCCATTCCAAATCTACCATGTCTACATCGCTGCTGGCCGTAGAAGATTCCATTGGAGTTGAACTTGCTTGTAGATGTTCAGGTAGAGGAAAACGATCTGTGGCACCTTTCTTCAAGCCTGAAGACCCATGTTGTACAGAGTTGTTCTGATTGTCCACCACTTCTTGTTCTTCGTACTGCGCTTCGAGTTCGGCCTGGGTCTGGTCGGCAATTGGCACTTGAGGCTTTGAGGATGGAGGCATCTCCAATTGGGCATCGTAATACCGTTCAATTGGAGAATTGGGAGTCTGCCCCTCGTCTTCGCAGGCTTCGGACCGGTCAGTCTTGACTATCGTGAGCCCAGAATTGGCAAGCAGACGACGTACCTAGCAGAGGTGGAGACATTGCTCCTGAATGATAGCAGAAATCATATAACGGTAAATAACAGGTGTCGACTCGAGGTCAACAAACGCTTTTCGAGTTTGAGTGTCCAGCGAAATTGGAATTGGAATAGGAAATGAAAATGAAATTGCTTATATAAGTGAATTGGAGATGCGAGAAATATTTGCGCCGCCAAACGCGCACTTTCAAGTAGGTTGTATATTGTTTTAATAATTGTATATTCCCATGACGAAGGGAGGGCTAGTCGAAGGGGACAAAGAAGTGACAAACAGACAATCGCATTTTCGTTTTCAGACCTCGGGGCTGGTTGTCGAGGTTGTATTGCTGAATCCATCATAGCTTCGGATGCGCACGGTTGAACCCGTTGGAAAAGGGAAGGATGACCAACGACCCCGCTGACCCACTTTTCAGGTCCTATCTATACCCCACCACACATCTAAAAATAGACCTGCATTCATCAAGAGCTTCATTTGAAAGTGATCTTAAGTAAATCGCAAATACAACTTCTTACTGCCTTGTGATTTTAGAAAAAACATCTCGACTTCCAAGTCAACCTTTGTAAAGACAATTGACACCTTCATGAAGTGATGGCAAGGGAGGAAGACAACACGTTTGTTTACCCTTGGATTGTGTTCGATTCTTAGGTTGCTCTTCTACGAGTATATACTAGAACGCATTCAGTCGTCACTCTGATTTTAGTATTGTCTCACTGGGTAGAAAATTGTAAACAATTCGCATTGCTACCCGCTGCTAGGTACATCTCCATAGATGCCTAGAAATAAAGCCCCAACGCCATTCGCTGTGCATAATTAATCCATAACGCCTTTCCTACAAAATCAAAGGTCAAATCGATTCCATGTCCGACCTAGCATAACGCCTGTTCCGCTGGGTAAACATCCGCATACATAGCCAGCATTTCCTCACTGAAACAATCCAACTCTATAATCGTGAACCGTCCTTTCCATCTCCTCTGGAAAGAAGAGTTTCGGTACTCCTTGCTGAGTCCATTCTTCCAAGCCACGACTTCAACGTTCCACCCCTTCTTGAGCGCTCGTTCGACAGTCTTGAGAAATCCACCAGAATATTCCGCCTCTGCCGCGTCTCCACTGGCCAAAACCATCGTTCCTGGTTCACTGTCCAACAGGCTCTCAAGCATCTTCATCTGCAATAGCTCATCGACAGCCTGTTCTGCCCGGGCCATGCTTCCCACGGTGAATGTCTCACTACCGCTTGAGTACCCAGAAGTCGTTGCATACCCATTGCCAGTGCCACGCCGGGCTTTGTCCTTTGAAGGCGTAACCTTGGGTTTGATGACGGGTTCCAAAATGTTTAGCTCGTAGTCGCATTTTCTTGCCTCCCTCATGTATAGTGGCAATTGATTTGATTTGCCCACATAAGCCGTATTATGGGATCCCACCAAGATTCGACGTGAAGCATTCCTGTCTCTTTCTAATATAAAGGCGAGAGCCTTATATGATATTGGTGGCGACTTGACGTTTCCCTTGATCTCTCTGTCGAGCTTCAATCGTTCGGTAAGCCCAATTATTATGTTGGAGCAGTCGACAAATACATGGAGGGTTTCCGAACCAGCATCGATTGGATGTGTGGCATCTATGGACCTCTGTAGTTTTCGCACCTTCTGCTTTAATTTGTCTTCTTGCTCAATCTGCGTACGTGTATACTTAGGTCGTATAGCTGTACGAGAGTATTTTTCGAAGTATGCAGCAGGCTTGGGCGAAAATTTAGGTGGCGGAGGTCCATCGTCCTGATTTTGGGGGGTAACAGAAGCTGGAATTAGAAGGCGTTTAGTCGAAAGCCCTACCCTGGATGTTCCAGCTTTTTTCGTGCTGTTCTGTGACCTTAAGAAATAGCGGCCAGTGGGAGTAGGGGTCGTGGGGCCCTCGATATCTGCTTGATCTGAATCATTATTTGCGAGTGACACATTATGGCTTCTTCGTCGTGACTCTGTGAGGTTCAATCCACCCGGGACCTCATCCTTCCAACGGACCTCTTTACTGACAAAGTCCTCAAAATCCACAGCTTCAACTGAGGCATCTTCCGGGGGTGTAGATTCAGCCGTGGAACAGTCGGATTGCGCAGAGGACGAAGAGGAGGAGGTACGGGTTGCGGACGGATCAAGTGGCAAACCAAGTTGCTGGTAGATGCGATTGAAGTCTCCTAAACCCTCAGGCGTGGAGGATGTAGGATCGCATGTGGATGACGATAAGGCGAATTTGGAAGTCTCATTCCCGCTGAGTGGTTGCGATTCATATCGAAAGGAATGTAGGAAGTCCTGCGCAAGGCGGAAATCCCATGGGTTACTTGTATCTATGTCCATTATGTCTGGAAAGATCAGCAAGTCAAATAGCAAAACCCCACATTAGGACATACATTTTGATGGTAGGTAGCCAAGGTAGGTAATAAATGTCGGTATTCATAGCTGTTGGGTTGTAGTGTAATAAGTTGTGGTTGTAAGTTGCAGGAGTCATTGACATCGGAGGGGAAGCCTTGGCCTTATCGAGCTTATGTAAGCGCTTGAATACGGATGTGGACTATGGATCACCCCCCCCGTACAATCGCCACCCACTAGACAGACAGAGCCGCAGTAGCCAGACGAAGACATTACTCAGTATTATTCTTGTTGTAGCTTGAACTTCTACCCATTGATAAGCCTGAGTTTCATTCGCTTCTACCATTTCTGCACATTGACATCTACTCTCCAAGCTCAAGCCGAGGGAATATGGTAAGAAGGAAGACATTTTCAATATTATTCGTCGGATAGAAGGTGCTGGGCACAGGACATAATTTGGTTTCATTTGTACCAGTGGGTCACTACGGTTTTCATACGAGTATCGCAACTTCCCAAGATCACTTTTGTCAAAATTTCCTTCTCCCAGACGAAACCACATATCAATTTCGCTCAGATACTTTAGTCCAGCAACTGTCAAGTCCCACCACAAATCCCTGATATTGCTGAATCTCTCACCCACCCAAATAACAATTAGATTTTTACAAGACAGCATCAAGGTTTTGGGGGGTATGTCGGCTGCTGGTATTGCGGCAAGAAAGCCTCCCCTTCGTGAACCGTCATTGGATCTTTCGGCTGCTGCGGAACTTGTTCATAGCTCATCAAAGATGATGGTGAAAGCTGTCCTCCTGGTGCTCCAGCATCAAACCGTAGGAGTGAACCGTTGACTGCAACGTGTTTCCCGGCCCCAGTCTCCTGAAGCAGGATATCAGGGACCGAGTATACATATCCAGGCGCACCACTCTTATTGTTCATGGGAGCAAGGATATTTAAAAGGAGGGAGCTCGACCAATGGGACGTGGTGAGCAGTCTGAGACTCAACCATGCTATGCCAAACAGAACCAGGGCAAGGAGACACAGAAACATCTGCAGATACGAGATAGCCGGCTTCAATACACCCCTCTCTACCGTGACGAGAGAAGGGTCGATGCTGACGATATACCCACGCGCGAGCAGCAAGTCGTTCATGCGTTCCGAATTCATACTCGCCCATTCATAAATCGTCTCGTCCAGTGCGGTTGCACTGAGGTTCGATCTTCCATCTCCAAGGCCATTCAGGATGAGTACAGCAGACGTATCGACTTGGCCGAAGAACTGTTTTGGTCTTCCTAGTTTCGCAAGTACGCAGTCCGTTCCGGTGACTACGCCGCCATATGCGACATTCGAGTAAGCCGCATCGCAAAGTGCGAAGGGGGTAGGAGCCACCGGAATGTTTTCAGATCTCACGACGGTGATGTTTGTGAGTGTGATCCGGAGCAGTGAGTATGCTGCTTCTCCACCCACCTCGGGTGTAAGATACTCCCAAGTGACTTGCGTAGTAGTCACATTATGAGCATCGTTGGTTCCGAACAGAAAGCTCTTATCGTTACTTTGTGCACTCTGAATGGAATTCGAGAGACGTGTAAGAAGTGGAGCCTGCTGCTCCGTGATGTTGGTGCTCCATGTCCTCTTCAAGATATCCGTCAATTCATAACTCGAAAATGGGACACTGGGCACTGTTAACATTGTGGTCCGAAATGTCGTTTCGATAAAGGTATGTCGTCTCGTTCCCTTTGTGATGGTAAACATTTGCTTCATCATAGCAGTGCCGCCTCCTTGACCGAACGAAGCCCAGATGTTTCTCTGTCGCTCAGGTTTTAGGTAGCGGGAATCGAACGCCTCATCCGACGTGTCATCCCAGTGTATTTCTGGCTGCCCAATAACGGCCCGGAGCAGTGGATCGACGAAAGTATTATTGACAGTACTGACCAACTAGTTAGTAAACACTGTTGCTGAAATTTCCCGCGAGCAGAAAGCCGAGCTCTCTACACCCGCGTTTTCAGCCTAGTTTTTGACTTACCAGTTCCAGTACTGCCCAACACCAACACCAACTTCTTGTAGGGGACAATCCATCGAAACCATAGTACCGTTCTGATCTGTTGTATACGACACCGACGCAGCGGTATCTGGGGACACAGAAAGCCCTTCTGCATCCAACCAAATCCTTCCCCCAACCAGTGTCTGTGTAGGCGTCGTGAGTTCAGCATTACCGCGATTGATATCTGAAGTCAAGGTGTAGTTTGATCCAGTCTTGTACAGATTTGCGCCAATCATATGCGGCATCTCCTGATCCAAATTGGCTAAATTATTGCGATTCATGTCTAGATTAACGATATATGCTCGGGTTTCCATCAACGAATTCTCCAGCGTTGAAGCAGACACATTCTGTGCCTGTATCACATACCCCGGCGCGTCGAAACCCCACAGTAATGTCCCATACAAACTCGATGCGCTGTATAAGATGGCAAAACAAAGCACTAGGATACTGCTGCCCGAGAATCCTTTCGAAGCTATAAAATGCGACTTTTGAATTATGTCCTCCATGAACATGAGGTAGCCCGTGAAAGCTTTCGCCTTGGCTGCAACGAGGCAGAAAAAATAATTTACTGCCATTGCGAGCAGGATCTGCGCGGCGCTGAAGATAAGTGATTTGATGGCATTATGATATATGGCCAGCTGAGAGTGGATGAATGAAGAAGAGGAAGTAATCATTTTGAAAACCTCACTTGATTATCGAACTGAAGAATAGCAGAATGAGAACAGAACAAGGTGCAGAGAACACGGCACCGAGAGAGATAATAGGCATATCATTAAAACTCACGACTTATCTTTGACGAAATGCTTGGCTTCAGCTGAGATGCGCGTGCATCTCGCACGACAACTTTGTTAAAGCGAGTGGTTGAGGGTTCTCGGTGGCGTACAATATACTTGGCGATACTGCCTTTTTCGGCCACTCGACCAGCCATGCAGCAACAACACCAGGCGGTGGCCCTATATTTATACCTTTGGTTTTAAAGTATGCCTAGCAGGTTTGAAGATGGTCAGTTTTTGAGTTATGCTTCAATTTCGAAGGTCATCTGCGTAAGGAAAATGAGGCCCAAGCGGGAGCTGAATAGATGCGTCTTCACTTCCCGAGGATATTTTAACATTCAGCCTCACTGCGCATGGCATGTACCCAGCTCCCACGTGCAGAACCTTCATACATGTACCCGACGGACTGGTACCTTCTGTAATGCTACAGTCCGATCAGCCTCAGCCTTCATGTCGTGGTGGTCAAAACTTCGATAAGGCTTTCTTCGGGTCCAGGCTTCAGACTGGGCGTTTCGGCTGAAAATCATAATGATTAGCACCCCCTTATGAGATTCGTCCGCGTGCAACCAAAACATATATCTTTAACAATTCCATAAAAACCAAATCTGAATGATTCAAAAGAACAACTGCAGCCAAAAAGATAAACATAAGCAATCAAGGCTCCAGGAGTCACAAAAAGTCCACGCATTACCTCTGGAGGTAGTATGTCAGGAAGACTGCATATTGGGGTGGTAAAAGAGGATGCATTCTATGTGAAGCTCTGAGGGAGCCCTGATATGTAGGTAGGATATACTAGCGTGGCACTAAGAAAGGAATGTCCTGAGGATACACGTGAGGGATATACGTGACATAGTAGCTCTACCAATAAAGAACCAGCCCCCTCCCACGCCTGCGCTATCATGTGTTGCTTTACGCGGCGCGGGACCTTAGTCCGGATAAAGCAGATAGTTATGCTCGTATGCTGGTTTGGAAGACAATGCAACCACGATCGAGTGTTTTTGCCATGTGACAATGGGACGACTCTAGACTTCTGCAAAAATGCGTCGAAAAGGATTCTTCTGTAGACCTGGACTTATGTCAAGTTACTGTTACACGACGCTAAATAAACACTTTCGAGTTGAAGATAAAGGCAAGGTATAGGACCAAAGCAACATGCAATTCAAGAAAGTCATTCTGAGAAGCTAATACTAGTTACGACTTACTTGGTTTAACGGTAAAGAGAACGTGGAACATGGGATTTCAAACAGCTGGGTTCAAGGTAATGCCGCCCTGGAAATTGTCACATGAAAACCCAAGCAATTGGAGAATTTTGACCAGTAATAAACTATGGGAAATAATATAGCAATGCAGATTGAAACAATCGGAGCTCCAATATACAACTAAAATATAATAGAACCCAATTCAAGTTGTATAAATAAACTCTCGAGCTTACGTTTTAGAAAACTTTTATGATATCCTAAAAAAAAGCTAGAAACTTATGCCCCCCCCACCCCCCCCCCCCCCCGGGAAAAAAGCAGATTCGCAATCAATCTGGTAAGAGCAAACAAATATCCAGCTCCAACTTGCAAACCCACTCGGTATATTTATAAAGAAGAATAAGAAATTGTATGCATATCTTCCAGTGCCCTAGCTAGCTGGGATTTTAAAAAACAGAAATCGATAAGCCAAGATCGACAATCGAAATAAAGTTTTATAGATAAGTACAGTAAGAAACGAATGGAGGCTTCACCTACTTAGTCGGCAAGCTATGACGTCTGTGACAATCATTTATGAACAAAAGGAGGGGGCGGGACGTATAATAGGAAAGGCGTGGACAGCTATCACTGACTGACACGGGCTGCAAAGCTTGCTTAGACGCTATGCCATTTTCCCATCTACATCGCATTAAAGTTTGAAATATACACTACCATTATTACGCGTACATACCTATATATTTCTAGCTTTACTTCATTTCCACTTTTCGTTTCGTATTCTTATTATATCATCAAGGTAGGTAGGGTAGGATAGGATTGCTACCTTACAGTATGCTTGCACTCGCGTACGTAAAGTGGAGGGAGTATCGTATTATATGCATAGAAAACTGCATGCGGATGGATGAATGAATGCCGCCATCCTTTTCATACTTATATTTTTATCGCGCGCTTTATTTTGGATTCGAGTACGAAACGGAGTACAGTAGCGATGCGATTCCTGGCAGGCGGGCGGCTATCTCGCATATTGTTTATCTTTATCTTTAGGTATGGGGCCCTGTAGCAGCGGTAAGGCATATTACTCGATCGGTAAACATGCAATGCGGGAGCGGAGCGTACTGTACGGAGTATGAAGTGGTGGAGGGGAGGGTCATGTCATGATCGTCTGATAATTGTACCTGATTGTACCTAATGTACCTAATTGTATTCCATCTGGTGGGTGGGTAATAGTTGGTCTTCCTTTTTAGCTTCCTTTAAACAATTAAAGAAAGTTAAAGATGCCGTCATGAGGATTCTGAATGAATGGATGGATGGAGATTTACCGTATTGTTGGGGGATTGTTCACGGCTGGTACCTACCTAGGGAATCGATAGTTAGAGGGCGGACGGGATCTTGCGGTTGTTGCACATGATTAGGAAACATGACCTTCCTTCCATTATTGAGACGAGATGAAATTCTTGCTATTGTAGAGTTATTCGGTGATAAGAAACCATTAATAAGTCGGGCTTAATAATCCAAGCAATCTAGCTGATGAAAGGATCAAGTGATTCCGAAACGCTTCAAAATTGCGATATCCAGATCTGCCCCTCCTTCCGAGGGAGGGGCAATGCTGCTGCAGATGGCTCGGAGAATATTTACCCCTTTTCAGGCACAGGCACAGGCACGGCCGAGAAGCGAAGAGGTTTACATGTCATGTAATCCACTCCTTGCTTCATTTGCACGTTTGCATATCGGCTGTTCCTCCAAGATCCCTTCCACACGAATACTTAGTCGCTCTCGGAGATATCGCCGCATGCAAGTGCCTATAGTAACATAACATACGGTAGAGTATGCAACTTGCCAGGCCAGGTGATATCCTGAATCTTGTGCGTCCACTACCGTATCGACACTTACCTGCGAAAGGTCAGATAGGATCAAGAGTACAGAATATGGGGGATTAGTTTACGTACTACCTTTCCCACCACCCCTCTCGAAGCTCACGATGCAAGCCCGTCGTCCACCGATCCCTTCTTAGTCAGGTACAAGCGGAAAGAAATGGCTAGTGAAAAGACGAAAAAAGCATATAAATCCATTTAAAACTAAACTTAAAATGCCAAAGTCACTATACAGTCAAATTCGACATTCAAACCCCCAAAACCAGCTTCAGGAATGCGAATAACTCACTCATTGAGTCTCACTTACTCACTCACTGCGCCACCCTACTGCAGCCATGTCCTCTTGAGTCCATCTTTTCCACGTGCTTGGTGGGTTTACGGTTCCTGATATTGGCCGTGCGCCTTCGTATCACTGCACTGCTATCTTCAGACAGGGACTGGACTGGTGGTACGGATCGATGGGAAAAGGCCTCTTTTTGAGGTAAATATTGATGATTTATATATCCCGTGAGCGTACCTGTACATCGACTTGTCGCACAGGAATAGGAACAGGAATAGCGCTTGAAATGAGATTAAAACCGTAAATAGACGATTTGTGATGCAAAAGTTCCAGGTTGTTCTTGATGTTGGAAGAGGGGAGAGAAGCTGAAGAGAGGAGAGACAAGGCCCCTCCCCTGTACGCAGTCAGTAATCGCTCCCCTGGCTGCCATTGTTTCATATGACCCGCTCTTCCCACTATGAACGAACGAACATCAACTTCCCCAACACGCTTCATATCATTACACCTTATTCTCACCTCACAAACTGCGCCCTCCACCATCAACACTCCTTTCCGTTGGCGCAAATCCCTCACCAAGATCAAGCACCATAGTTGGACATTGATAATATCCTTCCACTCCCGCGTCTGAAGTCCGCACTGCACTAGCCAACGGCTTCCAGCAGTTCAAGGGTCCAGTGGGTGTGGAATATTTGCGACAAGAGTCAGACAGCATTGACGCCACGAGCTCCAACACGCTCTGAATCATCACCACCACCCTGATTGAAGGACCAGACGACTCACCGTTCTCGTACAGCACCTCGATCCATTGAATTGCTCGCTGGCCGGCATTGAGATACCACTCGTTCCCATCAGAAGCCTCGGATTCTCCACCGGAGATTACGGCGCCGACGACGACGACCCTCGCGCGTCAACATATATCCTCTATCTCTGCAGATTTACGACCGTCGAAGCGCATGCCGTTTCTCGAAATTCCAGCTCCGTAGGTTCGATTGAATTGGCGCTACCGAATATCGCTACAGTCAACAGCCTTTGTTCTTTCAAGACATCTCACATCGGATAGCCGTGAAACTTCACCAGCACTAGGAACACCGAAACCTTCTTGAAATTCCTCCCATCGATTTCAATTGTGCTCCGTGAGCACAGTAATGAGCGTCATGCTCCAAACCCCTTCGCGGGCATCTACTGCCTCCTCATCCTCCTTTCAACCCGTATCACGCCAGAACACAATGTCTTCCCACGATGGAGGGCGGTCTGTCCGCCAGTCGAAACGCTATTCTATGACTACTCTGTACATGTCCATGTCCGCAAATGAAAAGGACCTGGAAATCGAGGATGATCTTGCAAAGGGTACGAATCATTCGGTTCGAGTTGCTCGCTGATAAGGCACTAATGTTTTTCAAAGCCCAGAAAATACTAAGAGACTTGAAGTCCAAGATCTCATCGCAATCGAAGAAGAACTTCGTCTTAGAGAAAGATGTCAGATATCTCGATTCCCGAATAGCGCTACTAATTCAAAATCGAATGGCGTTGGAGGAGGTGTGCATATGAGTCCCAATGTATCTGTTCTTGAGCTGATATAAATAGCAAAACGAAGTTGCCAGCCATCTAGAAGATGCCGCGGATTTACAAGAGGGTTTCTTCCCAAACGACGAGAAGACCCAGAAATACGGAAATCTCCTCTTCCTTTTACAATCCGAACCACGACACATCGCCCACCTGTGCCGTCTTGTTACGATGGCCGAGATTGATTCTTTACTTCAAACAGTCATGTTCACGATATATGGAAATCAATACGAGAGTCGTGAAGAGCATCTACTCTTGACTATGTTTCAGGTCCGTAGATATCTGGTTTCCCAGTTCCCTCATTATACTAACAATTGTCTAGTCTGTCCTGACCTACCAATTCGACAACACCCCCGAATACTCTTCTCTTCTGCGCGCGAATACCCCTGTTTCTCGAATGATGACCACATATACACGAAGAGGTCCGGGGCAAAGCTATTTGAAGACAGTGTTGGCAGACCGGATCAACGGTCTGATAGAATTGAAGGATTTGGACCTCGAAATTAACCCACTCAAGGTCTATGACAGAATGATTGAACAAATCGAAGAGGACACCGGGAGTTTACCAGCTTCTTTGCCAAGGGGAGTGACTGCGGAGCAAGCCGCAGAGAATTCTCAGGTCCAAGCAATCATTGAGCCTCGATTGACGATGCTCATGGAAATTGCTAATGGATTTCTGACGACGATTATCGATGGCCTGGAGGAGACCCCATATGGGATCAGATGGATCTGCAAACAGATCCGAAGTCTCACGAAGCGCAAATATCCCGATGCCAACGACCAGGTCATCTGTACACTTATAGGAGGATTCTTCTTCCTACGATTCATCAACCCCGCAATTGTCACACCCAAGTCCTACATGCTTATTGATGGGACCCCTGCCGAACGACCACGGCGAACCTTGACCTTGATCGCTAAAATGTTGCAAAACCTAGCAAACAAGCCGTCATATGCCAAGGAACCTTATATGGCCAAACTTCAGCCTTTCATCCAGCACAACAAGGAGCGCGTGAACAAGTTTATGCTTGATCTGTGCGAGGTCCAGGATTTCTACGAGAGTTTGGAAATGGACAATTATGTTGCGCTATCCAAGAAAGATTTGGAGCTTTCAATCACACTAAATGAAGTCTATGCCACGCACGCGCTGTTGGAGAAGCATAGCAGCGACTTGAAAAAGGATGAAAATTCTCACTTGGCGGTCATCCTGGCCGATCTTGGGCCTGCCCCGGCCCAACTACCCCGGAAAGAAAACAGAGCGATTAACCTACCGCTCTTTAGCAAATGGGAGACTGCAATTGACGATCTCACTGCAGCCCTTGATATTACACAGGAGGAAGTCTACTTCATGGAGGCTAAGTCGACGTTCGTCCAGATCATGCGTTCGATCCCAACTAACAGCGCAGTCGCCCGAAGGCCACTGCGTCTTGAACGTGTCGCAGATGCTGCTGCAACATCCCGAAATGATGCAGTGATGGTTCGAAAAGGTATCCGAGCCATGGAACTACTCAGCCAATTACAGGAACTTCAGGTGATCGACAAGTCCGATCAGTTCGGTCTTCTTCGCGATGAAGTCGAACAGGAATTGCAACATCTCGGTTCCTTGAAGGATGGAGTCATTGTCGAAACCCAAAAACTCGATGAGGTCTTCAGAACAATTCGGGATCACAACGCATACCTTGTTGGCCAACTCGAGACTTACAAGAGCTACTTGCACAACGTCCGAAGTCAGAGCGAAGGCACAAAACGAAAACAGCAGAAACATCAAGTCTTGGGCCCGTACAAGTTTACACATCAGGCACTAGAGAAAGAAGGTGTCATTCAGAAGAGCAACGTTCCTGATAATAGGAGGGCGAATATCTATTTCAACTTCACAAGTCCCCTGCCTGGGACTTTCGTCATTTCCCTCCACTACAAAGGTAAATTTCCTTGAATTCTATGAAATTATCAACTGACTAACACTTCCAAAGGTCGCAATCGTGGACTTTTAGAACTCGACCTCAAACTAGATGATCTGCTCGAGATGCAGAAGGATAATCAAGAAGATCTCGATCTCGAATATGTCCAGTTCAACGTACCCAAGGTTCTCGCGCTCTTAAACAAGCGCTTTGCAAGAAAGAAGGGCTGGTAGGACAAGCTTTTCAAGAAGTCGACTCTGGTAGAGCCAGGATGTGGGCGGTCGTTTGTATTATGATATTTTGTTTAAGCAAGGGTGAAACGGATGGTTTGGGAGTTCTTTGACGAAATTTGGTTTAATACCTTGCGGCGCAGGAGGAGCGGCTTTATACCTCAGCAACTTTTTATTTCCTTATGTGCATTCCGCGTTCAACTTCGAATATTCTTGTCTTAATGGGTGGATGGATGGTCGAAGGAATTTTTTTTGTTGAGGTCTGGCTGGCTGGTCCGGGAGATAGGAGGATGAAAGGGATGGAATGAGGTTGTGCTGAGCTGAGCTTTATGTCTCGTCTCTTTTCTTTTGATATGATGATACCTGCATGGATATGATTGGGGGCTGGCTGGTTGGCTTTTAGGGTGGGATATGATAGGTGAAAGGGAGGGAGGCGGGATAAATGTAATATCATGAATGAGTATACTGTGTTTTGTGGGGTGGGTGACTGGATTGGCCTTGGTCAGCGAGCTATGTCTGTACCTTCCTAGTGGAAGAAGAAGAAAGTAATACTTGCGTTATGAGCTGTTTGTTAATTTAGACTCTTGAAGCGAGCTTTTTGGAGGATTCGATGTGATGCGATGCGATGCGAGCGAGCGAGCTTATCTGCTTAAGTACTCTGGGCAAATGAAAGATCGTGATGTCTGAGCCCCTCCCTGTACCTGCAATCAGCCGGCGTCACGTCTTTCACTCGGTTGAGGTACGGAAAACATTGGCCTATGCGGCTCTGTTGGGAAGATATTCACGGGCTGATACATCTGTAGATGAGGCAAGGGGGGCGAGTGGTGTCGCGTGTCGTGCATAATGCAATGTAATGCACCGAGCCGCTCCCATTGAGAACTCCGTTTGCACGAGCTGGACTTTTCAGATTTCAATGGGTATATCACTAGACGGTATGGAGTAAGCTTCCTTCCCTCGGCGATGGGATTTTGTAATTGCGGTGTTATCGGCTTGTTTTCAGTCCCTTGTTCCACACTCACAGTGAGAGAGAACTACTCTGCTCACGTACCATTGGTGTACGCACTATTGCTTCGCAAACAAGTAGAATCATCGACAAACCTTATTTTATCCCTTCCCTTCACGCATATCGTTCATGCGGCATCATAGCAGCACAGCACAGTTCCTTAGCCTCACTTTGCCTATTCCTCGCCGCAGCCTTACTCCATACGTCGAGTAAATCTCGCCGGGCGACCGACGTCCAGCTTTATATACCTATTATACACACCTATTTCCTTGCTCGAATTTAATTAATTGGTCTACTAAGCTATGGTAATACCAAAGAAACAAAATGCTTTGCCGGGTATTTGGACATCAGATATCTCTCAAAGCTTCTATGGGAATGTTAACACGCTCTCTAAGAAACTTAAGCCAAATCAGAGTCCTCGAGCCCCAAAAAATTACCGGCAGGGTGCCCCGAGGGCGAAGGAAAAGAAGAAATATTTACTGTCTTATGAAGAGGAACTCCATATAGCAGACCATGTCGCATTCCTCGCTCATGCAGAAGAAGGCGTTGAATTTGTCTCTGCTGTGGTTCTAGAGGAGATGAGCGACCCCCCGGGTTTCACATTCCGGCTTGCATCGAACCATACGCCTCGTCTTACTGTTGTCAATGGAATCGAAAGAATACTCGGGATCGTGCGAGACCATGCCAAGGCAGCTATGTTGGTAAACTCGTTTGTTAATCACTCACATAATGAAGTTTAACTCTCCATGAACCCAGGGAAACACAGGCAACAGTACCAGTCCCAGCTTTTCGAAGAGATTATCTCCTTTAGCGAGAAGCGTATTTACGGTCGCATGAGGACCCATCATTGGGTAAAGCCTGATCACTTCGGGAAAGGGGGGTCAAGTCTCCCACCGCTATACGTAAGGATAGACAGGATATTAGAGGGTATTTGGGGACCTGATGGACAGAAACTCGCCGAATTTGCGTCGCTCCGAGCATCAATCATCGCCCTACGAGATGCCCTCGAGAAAGTCGACCAAGAACATGCTAGAGATTCGACCAACCTTCTCAAAAATGCTATTCTCAAGAGCTACGACGTATCCAATCAAGGATCATCCAAATCTCTCGCGACTCATTTGCAAATCATGGGTCTCAAAGCGCGGATCTACGCCAGTCGAGAAGTGGCTGAAATCGACAAGCTTAGTAAATACTGGGGCATTTGCAAAGACCTCATAAGACTCAGTCGCCAACCGGAGACTAGGTCCCATTGCCAAAACTTGAAACTAGAAATATGCGACGCTTACCCAGCAAGTCAGCCACCCGGCGCAGCTGACTTGTGCTTTGTACATGGAGAGGTCCAGTTAATACTCTTCTACGAAAAATACGGGAACGACTTGCCGCCGCGTGCCATCGGCTCCAGCAAATCCGCATGCTTCCTATGTGATCTTTTCATCAAATATCATGGCCAATTCGGCATCTCGCATTCCCACATGAAGCTATATCCCAAATGGACTATTCCAGACAATAGTGCATGGATGAGCCAGCACCCTCAGCAACGGACAAAGTTTCGAGCGGTTATTCGTTCTATGGAGAATGAAATAGTTGGGTTGTTGGGGAAGAATGTCTATCATCAAAATGTCGCCATGGAGAGTCGAGCTCATGTGCTAATGCTGGAGAGATCGAGTATTGCAGCGTCAACTTCAACTTCAGTGGCCACTACCATGTCAGATGTACAGCAAATACCGAGGCCTCTGGCGGTACGTATAAGCAGCAGCGCCTCATCTTCGTCTTCAACAACCGTACAGCTCAATAGAAACCCCACAGCCCCCAATCCCTCTACTTACCAGCTCGAGGACCTGCCAGTCACTATTGACATTTCCCCTGCGACGAAGTCCTGCGAACTTACAGCTGGAATCGTCTCGTACTTCTTCGACTTTGAGGATATCGCTACTACTGGTGGTATGCTTTACATTGCCGATAATCCACGCCAGCATCGGGAGGAGAAGAGGGTGAGTGTAAATACTACTGGGTTATCGTTCGATTCTTCTGTTTGCATTCAAGCTGAGCCAGATTCGAGGCTTCTGACCTTTGTTGTTCATGCTGATGGGCAGCATGAGCTTGGAGTTTCTGTCACTTGGCACGGGCTGTGATTTTGAGACGGAATGGTTGATAAATATGCTGGCTTGCTTTCGATGAATTATTTACTTTTGCTTCGAAAATCTTCCTTATTCAGGGAGCGATACCTTCGGGTGGTATTGTCAGGATGGTGATTTTGGTGGCGGCTGTTCTGTGCTGGTATATCTACGCTTGGTAGTTTTTCATCCGGATAATGCAGCAAGCACCCTCCGCACCACGTTCATCGCATTCTCAAACATCTCAAGAATTGCCCAACGCGCGACTTACGGTTGTAGTTTGAAAGCCATCCTGCCCAAAAATAATTAAGGAAAAGAAGTGATGCGATGTGCATATAACGCTATCTTCTTTGCTTTCAAAACCGAGATGTAGTCCACTCTTTGCTCCGCGCTAAGGTAGATCTCCCGAAAAGGGGGGGAGGCGCGAGGGCGGGGTTCTCTACAAAAGTGGGGCAAGATATCATCAAACACTTCCTGATATCTTCAATGAAGCCTTGATATAAACTACTGCCACAATTGCTACGAATCCCCTTTCCTATTCTAAGGTCTGATTTATATCTGTCCCCCAAATGGCAACTCCATTCAACCTCCCGATTTCGAAAACCCCGAAACCAGAAATCCCAAAATGGGCACCTCCACAACCGACGAAAATGCATCTAGACTGGGCTGATCTACGAACCATCGAACTTTCTCTCCTCGACTCTCCGGATCCAGAAGTCGTGGCAGGGCTGGTGGCTAAGACGAAAGCTGCTATTGAGGAAGATGGGTTTTTGTTCTTGACTAACTATGGGGTTTCGCTTGAACAGGTACAGTACAACATGTTTTGCTACTCTACCTTGCGAATACGGCTCTTGCTAGCTAATCTTGATAAATCTACCGGTACTATAGCTTCATCGTCAGTTCGATCTAGCTCAATTCTTGCATGCGAATATCTCGGAAGAGGATAAAGCGAAACTGCTGTGGGACCCTTCCACTGGCGTCTTTGCTGGGTTTAAGCCTCGGTTTGGCTGGAAGGTGAGCAGTATTATCAGCAAAGGTACGATAGACTGATTATATGGTTTGTAGCGAGAACCGGGGAAATTCGACGGCATTGAACATTTTAATTTTTATAGCCCTGAGTTTGAGGATATTAAGAAGGTCCCGGAGTGTATTGTACCATTCATGGATGAGATCACTGCGTTCTGTGATGTGAGTGGCTCTTTGTACGGAACGAGGACGTTAAACAGGGGCTTATATTTGCATAGTATCTGATGAATTCTGTCAACCGACGGCTATTAAAGCTGTTGTCGTTGGTTCTCGAATTGCCTGATGATTACCTGTGGGGTAAGTGGAGCGCGGTGTGGAGAATATATAAGAAACATCTGACAATCGACTTTTCTTTCTTCACAGAAAACGTTCAGTCGCATGATGGACTAGTAGGAGATGGTTATTTCCGGCATGCGCTATATTATCCTCTAGAAGCAAAACACAAAAAGGAGAGAAAGGGCATTCGGATGTACGGGTATGTACCTATCTTCAACCACACTGTTCGAGACACCCAACTGAAGGGCGGCATAGCCATACAGATTACGGCACAACCACTCTTCTATTCTCCGTCCCTGTCACAGCGCTCCAGATCTGGGGTTCAGATAACAAATGGAGATACGTGAAGTATAAACCAGGCGCCTTGGTTGTTAACCTCGGCGAGACACTTGAAGGTAGGTAAACCAATAAATAAATATATCCGATCTCCGCATTAGAAGTAAGAAGTATTCTGCTAATTAGGAATGATAAACCTCAAGTGATATCCGGTGGGCATTTTAAAGCAACACTCCATAAAGGTAAAGAGTCTTGCCATAATATATACTCCTACGAGAAGTGCACGAACTCACTCATACTAACGTCCTCTTTTTTAGTGGCAGAACCTCCTGCAGACCAAGAGAACGAGCAGCGTCTTTCTCTCGTCTTCTTCAACGGTTCAAAAGGCGATATGCGTCTAAAGCCAGCAATGGGTAAAGTGTCTTTATCATTCAGTCCGCCAACCTTTTGTCAATTCTCTGACAAGGAACTACCGCAGAATCACCTTTAATTCAGCGAGAAGGATTTGTCCTGAAGCAGGGTGTGTTTACGCAGTTCAAAAAATTGATAGATTCAGGCCGTCCGGTAAGCTATTATCCAATACTATGACTTGTATTACATTATCTGAATATTGATTAATTCTTCAGGTTCCTACGAACAAGGAATGGAGAGAAGCACGTAAGTGATATACATCTCCAAATGATCTATCTGTCTCCGAAATCTGCTCACACGTGAATAGAGGTCCGCACTAGGCTTCAAATGGCCCCGGAAGAACGACTTGCTGGGGCCAAGGATATAAATGGTACTAAGTATGGGGCAGATGTCATTCTTGGTGTTCAGGTGGTTTTGCCAGCTTGAGGGTTTGGACTTTTTTCATTCCTGTCGAAAGCAGATCCTAGCATCTGGATCTCGATGTATGGCATAACGATGCAGAGCGGAGTAATTCTCTTGCAACTTCCAAGTTGGAGGTGCGTGATGTTTGGCGTGTTTCGGATTTGCGCTTGTCTGTCTTGATACTTATGGAGAACTGAACGGTCATTGTATCATGTGGAATTTACTGGGGGTGACTGATATCTTGCTGAAAGCAGATAAGTGACCGTGGGCTATGATATGGGAAGAGCCATCTGATTTGCGCGTGAAGCTGAATTGTATTCATCGGTTTGCTAAATCTGCGGAAGTATCCTATTGCCTGCCTACCTTTCCAAACGTGGAATATCTGCGCGCCACAACACCATAAAGAGAATTCAAATCTTCAACTGACTCAGCAATAGCCTCAAAATCCAGTTTTTGCTGCCAGCACTTTCCTCAACCCGATCCCGTTCATTCTTCAGATCCTCATATGTGTCGTCCAGAATAGCCTTAGTGTATTTCAGACTACCTGCTTCTTCAATGATCTTCATCGTCAGCATCTTCATGGCGGGCGACATACCATTCGTGCGGCTCCGAGACTGCAAGATGTTGAGGAGCTCGGTACTGCCGGTATTTTCTTGGGCAGACAATGCGTGGATGACTGGCAGCGTAAAGGTGCCTTGGTCAAGATCGTTGTACGTTGTGGATTTACCTGCTGATGTGCCAGTGATATCTTGATAGTCATCCCGGAGCTGGTAGTAGCGGCCGAGCAGGTTCATGAGGGTGTCGATGTTGAGGGTTACGTTCTTTGTGGCTTCTGACTGCATCATCCTAGAGACTGTTCGGAAGATACCACCGGTTTCTAGCACGGGTGTGTTAGTTTCTTTTCTTCCTTTGGTGTGCCGATGGAGGGGACTTACTCTGCTCGATGAGCTTGAAGTATGCGGGTATGGATGGTGCTGTGCAGTGATAGCTTGAATGTAAATCGTGGGCCTGCCCGACATGAAGTCTCTTTACCTCCTCTGCGCGATATGAGTACTATGATTTCTCAATTTTGATACGGTACTCACCGATTAGTATGAGAAAAGTCGCTGGAGAAAGCTTCGAGGCCTGTTCTACACTCTTCGCGTAGACATAAGTCGCCGCATTGATCGTCTGCTCCACTCCGAACACCATATGCGTTGAAGGAAACCCTCTTCTCATGGGAGAATGATCTTGGATATCATCGATCCTACAGAAGAGATTGTTAGCAAAGCCCGGCATATATTTAAATATATTGGATGTTCCTGCAAAGTATAGTACTGACATCAGGGATATGTTATGCATCATTGCAACGACACTTCGAATAGTATCAAGTGACGCCTCGGGAACTTGATACCAGGTTTGCAGAGAATCGATCAGCTGTATTACAGAAATGATTAGCATTGATTTATTACAAGAGATTGAAAGGTGCGTAGCGCCACGGCTCTGTAGTTACATGGTCTCTCGCTCCTTTAGCTGGTAGCGATGCAATATAGATGTACGGTGCATTCGTAATCTAGAGTAACCAAACATTAGATATCGTGCATTTAGTCTCCATGCTATAAGGAAAGCAATGTACTTACCACATCTTCGTCCAGTTCTATAGCTGATTTATCATGGTCACATGATGCTAGGTCGCTTCCATTTCTGGCTGCATCGCGATCGCTCGGGTTCCCATCGCCATTCAACTTTGCCTCCTCGAGCTCATCGACACTGCCGTTTCCATTGCGTAAGAATTCACCTCCTACTTTGTGTATCTTTGCTTGGCGGGGATTGTCCTCTGAGTGATGATTTGCCGTGCTGCCATTGGCTTTGACTCCGGATGTTTTCGGTGCTCGAACAGGCCTTGGTGCGCTTTTGTTATAGCGGGCGGTGCTCAAACTCCAGACTGCACTGCCTCCGTTGCAAAGTTCGAGAACTCTGAACCAGTGATAGAATTCTGGCTTTGGGGACTTGTTCTTGATGAAAAGGTCGCGCTCCTCGCAGTATTGTCGTTCGTATTCGAGAGCCTGGTCCCACAGAAGTTTCTTGGCGGCCTCTGCGTCAATGCTGTGCACATTCATCAGAACCGAAACAGCGTTGACCAGCGAGTTTGTTTTGCCGCTCTCGTAGGCATCAATTTCCTTTTGCCACGAGGCAAGGTCGTTGACCAGAATCTGTGCGTGATAGAGCAGATTCGTAAGGTATCTAACACTTTCAATTCCCGCTCGACTGATTGTGGTGTCGGTGACGAATCGTTGCATGACCAAGGCACAGCTTGGGAAGTAACATAAGTTCATGGTTCAACTCAAGGATTTGATTCAGCTTCAATGAAAGGGTGTGATAACTCACTTTGCACCAGCGTCGATAAGGCGGAACTCAAGATATTCCTCGATGGACCTGTAATCCTTATCTCTTGCTTCGGCTTTAACATTCAATTGTTCTTTCCATTCTTCAATGAGCCAGTTTCCCAATTCCTCGTCGACTTCTAAAGCTTCGACAGCAAACCGAGCGCGGATAGACTTGAGCACCAGGTTGATTTGGTTCTTTTTGTTGCCTTGGGTTGCGCCATCAAGAGAGGCAATCATAGCTTGATTGCTTTCATCAAACTAATCCAGTGTCAGCCATACTTATTTCAAACACTATGTATTTACTCACATCTTCTACACCGTCTGCGACATCTGTATTTGAAGGGTCAGCCTGGTGTTCTTGCAGAACCGAATGAGCCCTCACCATCATGTGCGAAGGCATATTCAACCATATAAGCGGCGATATACAGTCTCTCTGGTAATGCTTCGGGGAACCACTACAACAAATTAGTGCAATTTTTCCTGTAGATAGCAAGGCCCTAGAGGTTCAAATGCTCTTCGGCATCCCCAACACAGCGAAACGAAGGAGGGGCAACAAAGAAAAGGGTTATTACAAGCGCAATAGCATTGCCAGTGACTGAATCAACGCAGCCAAACCCCTTAGCAATGGATTCAGGTACTCCTGCTCCTGCCAGCTCATCACGAACTGCCCAACAAGCGTCGTCGCAAAGATAAGCATACTTGCTGATGCGTGGGCGGAAGTGTGTCGGAAACCTGTTGTTGTTCCAGGTCTCAGAAGGGAATTCTTCAGAGCGATGGTACTGAATCGAGTCCATCGTTTCAAGTATGGGATCTGGAGTAGAAGGTGTAGTGTATTCCAAAATCTGGAGTTGAAGAATACTTGGAGGTCAAATTATTTTGATTATTGAAGAAGTTAATATGGCTCTAGCACATGTGATGCCCCAAGCCTATTGAAGGAGATTATTATTACCCAGTAGCTCAACTAAATCCAAGGATTTAGGGTTGGTAGTGTTTCTTTGTGGAGCAGGTCACTAAAGACCCAATGAATATATTCTGGGTATAAATAGTATTGATTTTCCATTGGTTTTCACTGATTCATACAGGCCATTACTAATGACAAGTTACTTAGAGCCTTGGTGAATGTATTAGACTGGGGCTGAAAATGACTCCTCGACTTATTCACATACAGTAAGTAATGGTTATCAGCTTCTTGTGAAAACAACTTGACTAATTGCTAAACTGATGAGGTCTCACACCATCGCCCGATCAAACAGCAGAAAGCCCCCCAAGATCTTCCAGACTCCAGGCAAATTCCCAACAAGCTCCCTACACCTAGGTTATCGACGGTCAAAGAACACTCCCTCTTCGTCTCCTCGTGATGCCTTCCTCTGAGGATTTCGGTTTTGCCTCACTCTGCTGGGGTTTAGTAAGTCCTTCTGGACACCAGTTTTGTGTTTCAACTGCTAAATGAGAATAGGTCGGACTCTACCTCATGCATGCCGTCTACAACTTATACTTTCACCCCCTGCGTTCACTCCCTGGTCCGGTTTACGGCAAAGTGACTGGTTTGTGGTACATTTCAAAGATCAAACAAGGGAACTCATTCTTGGAGCTCAAACGTTTGCACGACCAATACGGTGATGCCGTACGCATCGTACCAAATGAGCTATCATACAACACCGCTGATGCCTGGAACGCAATATACGGTTAGTTGGACACTTCACGCATTGCCTATGGTTTTGCTAACGCAACGAAAAGGTCGGAACATCCAACTTCATGGAGAAGACAAGGCTTCAGCCACTGGTAACCGTCTTCTGAAGGATACTCTCCTCTATGGAGCCGGGTTTGAGGGCGCTGATACGGTCGTAAGTCACCAATCAAGAACATTGAAAGATCACCCATAGAACTTATTCTGTCAAAACAAGATCAACGCCGAAGGAACTTTCTACGCTCCACAAAGACGGGCTCTCGCCTATGCCTTCACTCGAAAGTCGTTGATGACGAAAGAACACCTCCTCATACACTACACTGATCGTGCCATCGAGAATCTCACGATCCAAATATCGGCTGCTAATACCGTTGATGTAGAACCAATGTTTGCCAATGCCATTTTTGACTTCAACTGCAAATTTGTTGCCGATCGAGATATTGGAGCAAGCAACCCTCATGGCAAAATTCATCCATCTGTACATTATTTCGACAATCTAATGCGGTTCGCCTACATCCCAATCAGCCTTCGACGTATACCCATGATTGCCTACATCCAAGATACCCTCCAACCATTCATTTCGGGAGGTTTTCTGCACCCTCAAGTCGTTGGACCTTTGTTACAAAACAGGTTAGATAATGGAGGAAGTGAGACCGACATAAGTATGAGTTCCTGGCATAATACTTGGCTTGTATGTACTGACAAGAAATCAGTATCTTACATGGAGCGACATCCAAAAGAAGGAGACACGGGTAAATCGCAAATCTTGAATAACGCCATTATATTCATCTCCGCGGGAACAGGAACCACCGTTACATGGTTATGCACATCTGTCTATTACATTCTATCCAACCCCGACGTGAAATCAAAACTCTGCGACGAGATCAGGAACGCGGCGTCGAAGGCATCGGATTTGAACTTGGACGTGGTCAATAACATGAAATATCTCAAGGCTGTCACGGATGAGTCTATCAGGATATTTCCCCCGATCGTAGCGACTTTGACTCGTGTCGTGCCACGCGGGGGAGTGTCCATTTGCGGCAAATACGTCCCCCAAGGTACAGTCGTGGGAGTCAACCATGTAAGGATAACCGGCTCTTTGATTCTAGCCTGCCCCCTTCTATTGTGACTCATCTCATGTGCTCTAAACCCTCCTATAGATATCCCAAAATGGAAATATAGGCCCCCTCTACTCCTGAAACTGTCTTGAATAGAAAATAACTAACTCCCCCGTCATCTAGTGGGCAACCTACCGCAGCGCAAAGAACTTCAAGCATCCAGATGAATTCCACCCTGAGAGATGGTTTGACGTTGTCAGTGAGGAGTTTGCAGGAGACCATCGAAATGCTCTGCAGCCATTCAGTTACGGGCCGAGAAAGTGCATTGCTCACGAGTAAGTTCCACTTCAAAATTTACTGTTCATTCATTAGCTAACCAGATACGCAAGGCTGGCATCGATGAACTCGAAACTCTTCCTAGCGCGCCTTTTCTGGGAGTTCGACATGGAGTTGGCTCCGGAATCCCGTGACTGGACACAGCAGAAAGGCTGCATTGCACATTACAGCCGGCCGCTTATGGTGAAATTCACTAAGAGATCTAGTCTCTCCGAGACCGAGATATAAATCCCATCTTCGGAAACAATACAGCTGGTACGTTTAGGTGTTAAAGGAAGCTGATGGCGCATGTGCTAAATGGCTGGGACTGAAAACCATACACACTTATACCTGAAAACATACCTACACAATGGACTAGAAATTTAAGTATCGTTGAGTTACCTATAAAGTCTGATGCCATTCATCCTTCTGAGATTTATTGAAATTATTCGTGTAATTGACAGCAATAGCTACAACTAGCAGTACTTATACACACCCTTCCTTTCCTTATCTCTTTTGATTTCGTTGCTTTCTTTCATACTTAGATCAAATTCATTTATTTGAAAATAGAATCCCCACGTAACAATTCCAGTTGCAAGGTTCAAATATCAACAAATCGCGGGGTAGAAAGGGGGGTGGGGGTAGACGACACTAGCCTAATCAGCATCGTAAGCGAATCTCGTAGCTGTAAACGTGGAAGTGAACGTGAGTGACAATATGAATACAATCCTGATTTTATTCGAATCTCCGAGAATATATTTAGCCTTTTGTTTTAAAGTGCGGTCAAGAAGTAAGCAATGCGCTGTTGTCGCGTTCTTGAGTTCATGGACGGAAAATGACCAGCTAAGAGAAAATCTATTTATTCGGGGGACGGCAACACTTTCGATTTTTTTATAGCAAGGAGATAGAAGATATGTGGTGTGCATTGAAAAGTGACTGGAATACGATGAATAGGAGAGGATATGCAGGGAGGAAGGGAGAATGGAAAAAGGAAAAAGGGAATCGGAGAAGGCTAGGGAGGGTAATAGAGATCATTCTTTTCTAGGACGTTATAATGATTACAAAGACACCAGTTCTCGTATGATTCTTAGGATATCTTAACCACATACTTCCCCACTGCGCCCTTGCCCGTCCAAACCAAATCAAACGCTTTCCTCACACGATCCAAATCCCCATGTCAAACACCTCACCAACAACCGGCTTCAGCTTTCCCTCCCCCACCCATTTTCCGATCCTCTCAGAGTCCGCCTTCGTGAACTGGGTATTAGCATGCTCATATCTAACTCCCCACCTCGCAGATCTCCACTTAAAAAACGCATCGAGGACATCCATCAGCTTCTTCACCATCCACGGTGCGCCTGGATAATCTTCCATCAGCGTCGTTCCGCTCTTCCCCATGACAGATAACACCACCCCCGTGCCCGGCTTCAGAAGCGCAAGATACGCCATAGAGGCAAAGACAGTATCCAGTACAAAATCCACAGTTCCAGCACCGGCTTCGGTCACCACGTCTTGGGTGGTATAGTCTACAATCTGATCCACCAGCCCCTCCCCCAACAACCCCGAAAGCAGGGGAATCTTCCCCGTAGAGAGCGTAGTAACGACTTTCCCCGTCCCAAAAACAGGCTTCAGAAGCTGTAATGCCACCGAACCAATACCCCCTAGCCCAGCAGTCACCAGCACAGTTTTCCCCTTCAAACCGCCCGGCATTGAATCGTTGATTTTATCGAGTGCCCGCAGCGCCGTGTGCGTAGATACCGCGAGCGACGCGCTTTCTTCGAACGAGAGCCCTCCCGGTATCTTCGCGATGGAGTATTTGTAGCTCGCTGTCAACAGTAAATACTCGGCTGCACCTGTGCCGCCCATTCTGAATCCGTAAACCGCATCTCCGGGGGCGAAATCCACGACAGAACTACCTACTGCTGAGACGGTTCCCGCGTAATCGTATCCAATGATAATTGGCAACCTTTTTCGTATGGATCAGCGATCTGTATCTGGTCCCTGTAATGAATGTTGTAAATTAAAGAGGGGGAGGTATATATACCTATCTGTGTCGAGTAATCTAGCATAGCCCAATGCTTTCACGGCATCAGCTTGGTTGAGCCCGACTGCTTTCACTCGTATGAGAATATCATTCGGATTGCCGATCGATGGGACTGGCACTTCCAACACTTCCAGCTTATCAGATTTTCCCCATTTCCGAACCCCGAGGGCGCGCATCATGGGCATCGTGGTTGACATCTGATCAAGAACGTGACGATGACGGGTATGTCTATCGGAAGGATCCTTGATCATGAGAGAGCTCCAATGTAAAGTAAAGTGATTTGTAGCAGCCGCTGGTCATATTTATATCAAAGTTTTAGATGATGGGATAAAGACCTCTAGTCCAATTGGAGGACTATACAAGAGCGAATGAATCAAAAATTCGGCGTTCAAACGAACGCCGAAAATGCAGCAAAGCCGCACCTTGAACGTTGCCTGGAGTTCCAGCGCTCGTTTCACAAATCCAGGCTTTGAATAATACGCGTATCGCTACCTAGGTAGGTACCTATGATTTAGCATCTTAACTAGGAAGTACTAGCTACAAATTCATATCTATGTATATATAGTTCTTGAAGCCTGTCGATATTTCTAGCCCTCGAGCTATAGAAAGCAGACGAAAATGAAGCAGCTAAAGGACCAAACCAAGACTTCAAGGCCGATCATATTATGCATTGTCAACAAGTTCTTGAACTTCGCAACTTGCGAGCTGAACGTACACAACTTGTGAACTAAGTAGAGTACTGTACAAAACGGAGTAATAGAAGAGTATGGACATCTGAAAATCGTTGATTGGGTACCATCATCTATGTATGGGAACTCAAATATAAAAAGCAGCCAGCCATCACACAGCCTGCCTGCACTTTTGCTTTCTTCTTTGCCCAGCCCAAAAACGCCAGCCATGCATTCCCTGCGATTTCACTTTCCTACTCTCTCTTACTTCGCAACAGCAGCGCTCAATACCTGCGTCCGGAAGAATCCACCCTTCGTCCTCTCGATAACTTGCTGATAAACACTGCTCGGGGGATGGTTCATTACTACAGTTCCTTCCTTATAATCAATCTTTGCATCTACCCTCGTATCTCTAATCAAATTGACGATCCATTTCTCGCCCTCATCCTGGTTCAGACCCAACCGCGCGCTCAAGTCCTTGATATCGATACGCTGGTGGATCTTGCAGTAGCTCTCGGAGATCAGATGTCTAGCGGCTTCGACGAAAGAGTCTGATGCTGCCACGAGGAAAAAGTCGGAACGTAGGACCTCCTCAGCTTCTGAGAGCTTCTTCTGCGCTTCCTCGAAGTCAAAGTCAATGTATAGAGCCTTGATGAAGTCGGTGACCGGGTCGCTGTATTCGTAGTTTTCTTGCTTGACGATGCGGATGATGTCTTTGAGTTGCTTTTGGTATTGGCCAGTGTTGCGTGTGCGGCTGCGGTTCGTGATGACTGCGGCGGTCAAGTAGCGCAGGATCCAGGGGCAGGCGGTTTGAATGGTGTTGATGAATGGAGCAGAGAAAAAGAGCTCGCAGATTGTATCGCGTGCGGGTTCGTAGTTGAAGAAAGGGAAAAGTGCCCAGTGGATGAGCCAGGTGCGGTGGGTGAGTTGTGCGAGGGGGTTGCTGAAGAGTTTGGTATCAATCGATTCCTTTACTTTTTGGACTTCCTCCATCGCAGACTCCCAGTTTCCGGTTAGGATCTCAGACGCTAGCTTTCCCCAGGTCGCGGCAGAGACTTTGTCGTTGTCGGTAGACAGGACTCGAAATTGGTAGAGAAGCTCGGCTGCAGCTTGGTAGTTACCGCAGCTGTATTGAAAGTTGCCAAAGTCATAAAGAACATTGACCTCCTCAATAGTGACCTGTTCCATATTAGCACATGCCACACATCCCCTCTTCATATAGTATAAAACATACATCGTGCTCCTTCTTCAAGAACTCCAAGTTAGCAACCTTATCACTCCTGAGGCCGGTAACAACATCCTCTCTCCCAAGTAAGTCGGTGATCTTCTCACTCTCCTGACTATACTTCTCCAACTGATCCAGCACCTGCTGCCTCTTGGCCGCGAACTCCTTTGGCGGATCCTGTACTCCTTCCATCTCACAATAAAGCGTGGCCACATAATCCGTCATATTCGTCTTATTCAACAGCTCATACTTGGCCTTTGTGAAATGCGCCGCCTCGCCCTCCTCATCCTGATCCGCGACGAACTGCAGCAGCGGGAATATTAAATGGCGATCCAGATGCGTGACGAGTTTGGGTAGGAGGTCGTATTCTTTCGCGATTTCCTCGGGGGTTTTGGCAGCTTGGGATTGAGCGCCTTTAAGTAGGTCGCTGGCTGTAGTGGGCGTGTTGTCCGCCATGGTTGCGACTGTTCTGTTGAGGGAGGGAATGAGGTCGTGGAGGTGGGGGCGCCGTCGTCGCGGTTGAAGATATCTGAGATTTGTGTGCGGGCCCACTTTAAACTGTTTGCGCTAGTGGGGATTTACTGTAGCGTGTTGAAATGAACCCTGCGCTCGCCTTGTCTTCTTTGTGAGGTGTTGGCGACGACAGCAGAGAAAAAACATTGTCTGTCCTTATACTCGAATACTCATCCCACGATGGCACTCGCACAGCTCCCCCTCCTCTTCCTCCGCCCGAGAGCCCTCCCTCGACCCTCCACAATCAATCACTTCCTCGGAGCCGCCAGAGCTTCAACAACAGCCGCCTCGTCAACACCAGCACCACCTTCTCTGACAACAGCCATCTCCGCATCGAAACCCTACCGTATAGCCCTGACCAAGAGCAAGGAATACCCAGTATATCAGTTGAACAAGCGCGGTGGGAACATGCACTTAACGAAGATCAAGCATATTGAAGGGGATATCGACGCCTTGAAAGCGGATTTGCAGAATACTTTGAAAATACAAGACGCGAAGGATGTGGTGATCCATCAATTGACGAGGCATATCGTTGTGAAGGTATGATTACGCCGGAAGCTTGTATTGAGGTTATTTCTAATTCGCAGTAGGGTCATCACCGAGACGATATCAAGAAGTTTCTGGGGAGCAATCAGGTCGGGTTCGTGGAGGTTGTAGAATTATTATAAAGGAGGTGTAGAATTGTTGTGAAGGAAGTGTAGGATTGGAGGTTCATGGTTTGCTTCGTGAAGCAAAGCTCTGCATTATCAATTTGCAGACTCGTGCCTATATGTACAACACCATTCTGTCTTTTTCTCACTCATCCAGAAGAGTCATTCAACTTGTACAACAGCAACCTGAATAAGATACCAGCCAAGGAAAGACGTTAGGCAAAAAGCCATGCTACATAAACAGATATCAGAATGTTCGAACGCCTACTCCAAACGCTGCCAAGTATCGATGCGTCTATGGAATGTGGGTACAAAGAGTAAAAATAATCAATTCGCTTTATGTGCCCAACCCTGCGTATGCACACAATTGTTTAAGAACCCCTTGAAGCCTTGGATTAACAATTTTCAATGCCGCTAACAAACTCTCCTTTGAAGGTAGGCCTGCGAAAGGTGTCGTATACCTGGGATCTTCTGGGTTTCGAGATTTTTCCGCCAGACGTCGTAACACGGCAATTCCACCTTGAGTAATGTGAAATAGATCTGCATCATCAACTCCTTTTGGTGGGTTTTGCCCCCGTTGCTGAGGAACCTGTGGAGCGGTTTCAAGACATAGAGTCAAGATCAGTCGCGAAAGTTTCTGTGCGAAACCATCTTCAGACCTCAACCAGGAATTAGCTAAGCCTGTTTCGAACCCAGGTGCAAGATTCGCCAAAATTTCCGCAGCTAGTATTCCTTGCATCAAGACCGGCTTCCGGGCTTCAGCCACAGGCACCAGTGGATGCCCACGTTTTGTTCCCTGCTTGTCATCTGGGAGTGGCGAAATGGCGAGTGCGAATGTTTTGGTAAGGAGATCAAACGGAGCGGAAGAGTTAGCATCTGAAGCGAAGATTGTCTTGTAAAATGTTCGGTTAGGCTCATCTCGAGCAAGTAACTTGGCCAAACTATCCACAGCCGCAGGCAGATATCGATGAATCGCAGGATCGTATGGTGTAAATACGACACTATCAGCTCCCACAGTATTGGGCGGGGGACAAGGTGCGAATGCAAGAAGGAAATGCAGCAGGCATAGAGCTTGTTCTCGACCAGGTAATTCGATCGCCTGGGCTAGATTTGATAAGATGACGATGAGATCCTTCATGAAATCGAGCGTGTTGGAATTCGTTCGCAAGAGCATGTTTCGAGTGCCCAAATACCTAATAACGACACACAAGAATTTGACAACGAGTTCGTCGGCCAAGAGAGCATGGTTTTTGTCGTGGAAGGATAGATTTCGCATAATAGTCGTTATACAGATCAACTTGTCAACGGCAAGATTCAGTTCAGACTCAAGTGAACCAAACTTTGGTACGTCTTGTAGGTTTTCTTGATCTGATCGGCTGCCACGCACAACATCTTCGTAAGAGCTAATAAGCATGACGTCCGAAACCTCGGCTGCGTTCTCGGCGAGAAGTTCGACTTGATCTTCGGCACAATCAATAAGTGTCTCTACAAGGTCTTCGCAAACGGTTAAATCGAATTGTAGACGAATATCCACGGCGAGTATACATAAGGTGTCCAACGCTAACCGGACTTCAGCATGAATTCCACACTGTAGACTTCTAGTTAAAGCGTCGATATCAATCAGGCCGAGTTCAAGGGCGGCCGGAACGTCGGGTTTCGACCGAGTCAATTCTGAGCCAAGTCTCAGTAAGGATTCTACTTGAACGCCTCCAAATGTATCCAGCGACCGAACCTTGGGATCCAACACGTCAGGGAGGTTGAACTCTGTATGGACAGGGTCGTCAGCACGAGCGCTGCTAGCTACCTGTGGTGATTGTAGAGATAGGCTTCCCGGTTTCGAAGCAGACACGGGAGATGGCATCGTGAAAGAAGACCCATTTTGCGGAGTAGTAGCCTCAATAGTTCTCGACAGGCTATTTCGTGCGTGTCCTTGCGAACCCATGATATGAGGCTGTCCAGGAGGTTGTTGGGGTGTAGAGAATCCATTCACAGATTGCTGCTGCGAATGCATCTGTTTCACAGGGGTTGACTGCATTTGCTGTTGCTGAAGATGATGTTGCTGGCCCATGAGTGCCTGTTGTTGCATGAATTGCTGCGATTGCTGCATAGAAGCTTGGGGATTTATCTGCTTCGTCGGAGATACTTGCCCTCCAGCATTGGGGTTCTGCTGCATCATGGCTGCGCGCTGTCGCTGTTGGTTCAATTGCCAAGCCTCCTCGAACATAAGTAGGTTCCTCTCATAATGTCCTTTGAGCTGAGCCGCCGCGGTTGGGTTTTGTATTGGAGGAAAATGGAGCGCTTGGGCAACTTGATTCCATCCGTTTTGCGCACTAACTTTCTTATATCCACCATACCTCATCACAGTCATGTACAGCGTCATTAATGCGACCGATTTATCGCCCACAGCAGGATTCATATCTAAAGGTAGATTCCTTTGCTGCATGAAAGATTGCAAACTTTTCAAGAAATTTTCCGGATTCAAGTTGCCTCGAGATTGCGCGGCTTGCTGCTGAGCCCGTATGCCAGTGAATTGTCCATTCTGACCAGGCATCTGCTTTGCCATCGGATTTACATTGAGGGGCATGTTTGCCCGCTGGCCTGCCATCAGATTCTGCTGCTGCATTTGTTGCTGCATCCGCATTTGGTAAAGCAGTTTCTGTTGATCCATGCTTTGTGGTGTGCCTTGCTGTTGCTGTCGAGCTTGCTGTTGGGCTTGCTGCTGAGCTTGTTGTTGGGCATATAATTGACTCTGCTGCATATGGGACTGTGGTGTAGACATGGCGTTTTGAGGAGGAGCAGATGTCCGTCCAGGAGGGGGTGTGAAATTCTGATTGAAACCTTGCGCAAAGGCTGGATTCTGCGTGTAAGGATTACTACTTTGCGGCGTGTCAACTCGACTGCCATGGTCTGACTGGGATGGTGAAGCCTGAGAAAATTGTTGGGCGGCTGGGGAAAATGGGTGTGGTGAAGCGGTCGAGACTCGTTGCGGTACGCCGCCAGGACGTAACTGATTGCCCATTATTGGGGATGGGCTAGCATTAGATGAGCCATTCTGCAAATGGGGGTAAGGTGCCTGTTGAGTCGCGTGTTGTTGCTGTTGTTGTTGGGGCGCATTATTCGCTGGAAATCCAGGGTACTGATTTTGCAGGGGAGTTTGAGAGCGCGAATTGGGAAGCATATTGGGCGCTTGACGGGGTGATCCACCAAGACTGTCTTCTCGTGGTCGCGGTCTCTTAGAGGGTATCACGGGGTTCGTCTGATACACCGGGTTGTTGAAGGACGGAGAGCCATTGCGCATAGCGCCATTTTGCATTCGTTGTTGGAGCTGCTGGTTTTGGAAGTGGGCAGGATCGAAGGAGGTAGGGTTGTTCATAAAGTTGGATGGGTCAAGCATGGCCCCGCCGGGATTCGAGTCAAGATGGTTGAAGCCTGCGCCATTGTGATTTTGGACGGCGGCGTCGTTCATCCAGGAGCTCATGTCTGTGGGACGAAGTTGAAGTGGCCCATCTGCAGTTGCGACAAGACGTCAGCGGTGCTATTTCTATAATAATATTGCAACGGGCCTCTCATAGAGTGGCCCGCAGGTGGGCGAGAGATGGGCAAGCGCGACTTGAGGCCTGTCGCGATGGAAGTCGCGACGCGGTGATGGGACGAGGCAAAGGGATACCAATGCAATGTCCATCAGCAGCACCTCAACGGCGAGCACAAACAGCCGCGACAGTATCTACAAGATGTCACGAGACATCGAGATAGCCAGCAGAGGAGGAGGAATGAGAGCAGGGTCTTACCTAAACACGCTGTTGATGTCCTGTTGAATGGCAAATTGGTGGTTCTCGGTTCGGTTCGTCGATGGAAGTTCCACACTAAGCCTGATTGGGGCGCGCTCTATTAATATGCCGATACGTCGATATGGAATCTAGAATCTAGAGCCGGGCTGTAGAACATTGTTCGTCAGTGAGAAATTGTCATGTCATTGGATGGATGCATTTGAATATCGGCCTAGCCTAGGGTGTGGTGCTTGGATCGGAATGGGGTTGTTGATTGATTGCGGTGAGGTGTGATAGATGTCACGTTATTGACCCACTGAGTGAGCACGATCTCGTGACCAACTCACCGCCGGTGGCAAGTTTGAAGAGAAGAGAAGAGAAGGCGTCGTGTAGTGTAGTGTGGTGTAGACCCAGGGTATGGTAAACGTATGACAAGAGGAAGCCACATACATACCTTAGAGTTTGAATCAGGCCAGAACTAGAATAGAGGGGGGACAGACTCCTGAGGCTCGATCGATATGATGCTCAATGACTGGAGGCGCCGAGACTGATGCGTCGGTCGGTCGATCGGTCGCTTGGTCGGTTGGTCAGTCGGGCAGGATAGGATAGGATAAGATGGGGCAGGATGGAATGGGATGGGGTGGAAAGCCGCTGTGTTGTCCCCTCAGAAGATTATGCGGAAGCGCAAGGACGCCGGAGGAAGCGTGGAAGAATAAGCAAGCGTCTGAGATACCGGCCGGAAGAATAGAGGACAGCACAGGCAGCAAGGAGGTACGGTGCCGTACAATCCGGTAGCAGGAAATGATCGGTCGGTCGTCGGATGGGAAGGGGTTTGCCGAACGGGAATATAGGTGTAGGGCCCTGGTGGAGAATTGGGTGTGGTATCAAATAATTGCGCTGTGCTGTGTTGTCCTGTTTTCGCTGTCTGTACTGTATTGTGCTGTGCTGTCACGGACTCACGGCTGTTGGGAGAATGGTAGGTAGGGAGGGGAGGGCACTGCACTTTGCTTTGCGTGGAAGGAAGGGCTAGCATCGTAGGCGATCCAATCACTGTCCCCATCCTTTTCGTGTGCATTTGCCTCTGCATCAGGTACACCAGACCAGTACCGACTTCGTATCTCACCTCGTCCTCGTCCCAATAATGCCTTTCATTTGAAGAGGGACTGCCTTTTGACGCTGCCGCTCAACTCTCGCTATGATCCTACAATTGTCAGCTCCGCCTGTAGCGGTTCAGTCAGGTATAGCAAAAACTGGGACCCAAAATGAGGGTAGCGTCTAGATCGGATCGGTCAGGGACACCTTGCTGCTTTACAGTAGATGCGGACATTCCTAGTGCGTGGATCCACCGTACCCAGCAGCAGATGTAGATGTGCGACACCTTCGAGATGGAACCTTCAGATGCTTCAGATGCTCCAGATGATGCGAGAACGAGTCGAGGACACTTCCTCACTCCAAGGAGATGTGCGGTGTGGCGCTGGTCCCTCTCTCGAATACTCTCATCGCTGCGTTTGCAGGGCATCTCGGTTGAGACTTGCGAAAGCGGCAGCAGCTCGAGATAGTACGACCAGACCAGAGATGGATGGTATGTAATTTCAAACGCTGCACTCTAGAAATATAGAGAACAGAATTATCAAGGGAAGAATGAGGGATGGTTAATAAGGAAAGAGAAAGGGAATGAGAGAGAAAATGAGGGAGGGGCACTGGGGTCTTAAGCAAAAGTAAAATGCCGAGCAGAGAAGGCTGCTGTTTGGACAAGGCCAATCTGTTTTAATCACGCTGAGGTCGTGACTTGACGGATAAGCGTCCTGTACTGTAGCTTTGGCGTCATAAAACACTTGATTGCCAACCACGACGACCCAAAAGGAGTATACCAGCCTGCCCTAGTCACACAGACTAATATACTCACTCTTATTCTTGTTCTTATTGCAGATCTGGTGAGGAAATAAGATCCTATTTCCGTCGACATACTATAAGTCTCAACATCGACCGACCTCTGTTCCCACCGTTTCGGAAACAACAGAGGTGCACACACATCAAGGCAGACTCTTCTCTGAGAGCGATCCTACCGCACGACGTCTTTTTGCCCAGCATCCTTCTTGCTTACACCGCTCGTCTCATTCCTTCGATTCACGCCGCCTGCGGAATTGAAGGGACTCGGAATGGTGAAATTCTGTCTTGCTGCTCGAGTAATTATACTTACAGCATTTTACGGGCTGTTGTACGACCACCTTCTGACTAGAGGGCTATCTTGGGACGACTGGTATCATAATCGATCAAGAAGAAGCTTCCTGGAGCCCGATATCCAAATGTTGTCACTTGCCTCGTAGTCGTGACATACCAGTATGGATGAGTCCCTTAGTTTTAATGAGAGGCGTCCTTGTCATCCATCTCATTGAGCAAGGATTGGCAAGGACGCATGCCAACTTCCTTGCATGAGACATGGCCCAATACATCGAAGCCAGCCCAAGCATGGATAGGTAGGTATCACGAAGTTCTGCAAATCTACCCAGGCCAGGGTACAAAGCAACGATCCTTTTACGAGAGTTTGCTACAAAGTAGAAAGAAGTGGGATGGTTGGTTGGTTGGTTAAATCCGATCCGATCCATTTCTAAAAGCAGTACAGTATGTACAGTACCGAGGGCATGTTTCTGCGCGGGCGCCAGCGATGCAGGACGGCAGACTGGGAGGGGAAGATGCCAAGGCGCCGCTAGGAACCTGGGACGAAATGTCAAGATCACGTGGATAACCCGGCATCACCTGCATGACTGCCCGCCCCACCCCGCCCAGCGCGATTTGTACGACTACGACCTCGACTATCATTCTGTACGCGTCCCTAATTTCCTGCTTGGTAGATGACTTCCCACCAAGCAAATTCAAAATGCCAAAAAGGAAAGCAGAAGATCTTGAAGATGGAGCATCGCTTCATGAACCCCGACGATCAAGCCGCCGTGTATCAACACCAAAGGAGCAGCAAACTCCAAAGCCAATAGCTAAAAAGGCAGGAAAGGTAAAAAAGGCGAGAAGCGCGGGAAAAGAGCATGATGCAGATGTCAATGGGAAAGTTGAAGAGAGCGAGGAACTTGTGAGTTTAAACTGTTCTTCCTACAAACATTCATTTAAACCTCCAGAACACGCCTTCCTTTCAAGTCAATGTCAACATCATCGGTGATTGGTCACGTGGAACTCCACTGCTCCTCAATCAGACATGCTTTTTTGGATAACCCTGGTCTCCAACAGAGTCCTATTAGAACTGAAGAGGGCCTATCTGACATGTTACCAGAAACCAACAGAACCAGCCAAACCCACCAAAAAGGCTTCATCAACTCCTAAAGTCGATGAAGTCTCGACAGGCCGTCAATACTGGCTGATGAAAGCCGAGCCCGAATCACGTTTCGAGAAAGGCAAGGACATCAAATTCTCAATCGATGACCTAGCCGCGAAGACTGAACCGGAACCTTGGGATGGTAAGTTCTCCTCTTCCGGCGAATCAGCCCGAAAACTAACTACCTCCACCCCAGGAATTCGAGCATATCCAGGTACATCAATAAAAAGCCCATTGATGACTGCAGGATACTGAACACAACAGCACGCAACAACCTGCGCTCCATGAAAAAGGGCGACTTAGCCTTCTTCTACCATTCTTCTTGCAAGATTCCCGCCATAGTAGGCACCATGGAGATTGTACAAGAGCATACTCCGGACTGTACCTTTTACCTTAGCATCCTCCTCTCTCCTTCGACTAACAACAGCACAGTATCAGCACACGATTCCTCAGCGCCCTACTATGACGCATCTTCCAAAGCCGACAATCCCAAATGGTCAGTCGTGCACGTGGTTTTCAAGCAAAAGCTAGAAACGCCCATCACGCTCAAGGAGCTGAAGGCTTGGCAACAAACAAAGGGCAATCCGCTGGAAGAGATGCAGATGTTGAAGCTGGCGCGGATAAGTGTTAGTAAGGTGCGGGAAGAGGAGTGGAGATTTTTGGTCGAGGAGATGAAGGAGAGGGGTGATGTTATCAGGGAATGAAGATGGGGTGGCGACAATGTATAATATCTGTAAGTATCCACTGTATTATAGTTCACGAGGGTTTTGAGTTGTTAGGAAAGTTACTTGGGTTCTGCTTTTGCTCTTAAATTTGAGAAAACTTGAGAATATCTAGAGTCATAAAACCTCAGTGGGGCATTGTTCTTTCTTTCTTTCTTGAGGTTCCCTCGAAGAAACGGGAACGAAAGACTGAACAAGCAGCATCTCCCATTTCCACAGCTTGAACCACTATATCGGCAAGTGCTTCTCGAACCCGTTTCCTTTCATCACAGCACACTCAGTCAGTCACAATCGAAATTTTGTTCTATGTTTTTATAACCGTTTTATTATTCTATCTCCACATCAGTTTTACAGGTTGCAGCACACTAATGCCACCTTACTCCCGCAAAGATAACAAAGTGGGAAATGTTGCAGGAATCTAGGAAACAAGGAAAAGAGCCACTTACCTCATCTTATTCTGTTAATACTCCGAAGAACTCTAAACGTTTTGCCCCAAACACCTCCCCCTTTGTTGTCTTTTTTCTTCGTCTCGGCCTCTACCTCAGCCACCAACGCATCTAGAGTCCGCGCCGCTTCCGCATTAGACTTAGCCTTAGCGGCGAGGGCAATACAGACTGCACGGGGCTTAGCGCACCTAAGATGTGCTCTGGGGGGCAATTCCGGGACGCCGGGATGGTCCTTGTCTAGTTCATTATTCTCCCTCCCATACGACTCCCAATGATCCGGCGATCCTTGCTCAGTAGTCAACACCATGGTAGACGTCACGTAGCACTCTTTCAGGCGCTCAGTTCTGCGCAGCACAGGCGCGATGTCGTCTTGCGGATGCAACCACGGCCATTGTGTATCACCGTCTGGGCTATTCGGGGTCACCTTCAAGGTAAAAATGAAGACTCCGTCCTCGGACGGCTTGATCTCCACCTGCATGATCTTGTAGTCCAAGTGCGGGTTATGCACGTAGTAGAATTGTCGCGTTTTGATATACACAAAGCGCAGCGCATCTTTCCATGGCCGTGCTTCCTGCGGTATGTTGACCAGGATGTCTACCTCGTACTTGGATTGCCCGCTGCTAGTCGTTCTCTCCACTACACGACGATACTCCTCCCTGTCGACTACCAGATTGTAGTAGCGGTTTGCTGCAACGTTGGTGTTTGTGGGGGGTGGAGTATAATTGTTCATGTTGAGTAAGGATATGTGGAGAGAAAAGAGAAAATGTGCGGTGCTTTGCCATGTTTTCCGGTCTATTTATACTTAGAAACAGGATTTCTATTCTAAGATCATTAGGAGAACAGTCCGGTGTTTTCGTTTGTCGGTTCTTCGGTCGAAGTGTCAGATCCCTAACTGCTAGTAATGACAATTGCATTGTTGATATGAAATTCTCAAAGAAGACTTTTGTTTTCCCTTTGTTTCATGCTGAAGCCAGAATAAAGAAGCTGGTGCGATTTTTTTAAGCTTGAAAGAGATCTCAGGTATGCTGTTCTTCCATAACGGTCCATTGTTGTCTTGATTAACCCTTGAATACCGACATTCTTCGAGAAGTCACAGGCCTTACTATTCTGCTAAGAAGATCAGGGCAGGAGGGGCTTGCTTTCGTACTTTCATAGTCATTGTCACCCCATTTGCTCTGGTCTTCTTTGCAGGCTAGTTAAGCGGGGACGAAGTTGCTAGTTCTACAGATACCCTATTAGTGGAGTAATAGTCATTAGGATGGCTTGGGGTTTAATTTGAATACTGTGATTATATTAAGTGATGCGAAGCGACGCGATAGCTGCCAAGGACGGCACGAGACGAAGGGATAGTTTGAATTTGCGACTGTACTTTCTTTGGAACCAAGTTTAGTCTTATTGAAGGGAAGCCATGCACAGGATGCGCAGTTCTACAAGATTCCAGTCCGATTATCACGAGCATGATGCTCCATAGTCCACTCCCAAACACTATCCCAATCCTTACACTGATGCTCCATACCCCAGCCATGCGCAGTTCGCACTACTCCATCTCTCCCACGATACCTCGCCAGCTCCATCGTCGTATCGGCCGAACACATCAAAGCCTGTCTCAGGAAATCGAAACAGTGAATAGCGGCTGCCGGAGCCAAATGGTGAAGCGGACGCTCAATACTCGCATCTTGGTCTCCCAGGAGAGCAAACCAGCTGTATCTGAGAACACCGAGGCAGTGCAGTTGGTGGAAGACGGAAATGCCGTATTCTTCGGACTCCAGAGGCGGGTCTTCGAGGGAGGGGAGTCCGTACCTCCAAGGATTTTCGATGACGACGCGTCCTCGGCCGGCTGGTGGGTGGTGAGAAGAATATCTTGGAGGGATACTAGATGTGGAACACAGAGGCTCACTTACGAGGCATCAGAGTATCCCACGCAGCATTGCTTACCGCGTTCGGTGCTTGGGCAAAGGCCTGATCCTCGTCGAATACGTAGGCTCTCGTTGGAACTGAAATCGATCAGCAACATTTCATTCCAAGAACCTGGCGGTTAGTCTTTACTGACTGATAGGAAACCATTTTGAACTATTTGGTGTTTCTGGATTCAGTCTTGGAAAGGTAGGAATGATCAGACTAAGGATTGCAGCGGTGGTAAACCACAGCGCCGTGATCAGTCCAACATACAACCATTTTTTTCGTCTACTCATACTACCAAAGTGCAAAGCGTTAACTTTAGCAATAGATTTCTGTTCCTCAATGTCATCCTCGCTGTTACTTTCCACAACTGTATAGAGGTGGGTCTCGGTGTGTTTTGGCTTCCGCCAGCCCCTGAGAACAAAAGCAAAGAGGGAAGACATGATGATGTCCAAAAAATCACTAAAATGTTCGAAAAGTGATAGCAACAGGAATGGGATTTCCATACTCGGGCACGCCAGCACGTATTCCAATTGCGCGTGTCCCGTGAATGGCTCGGTGCAACTGAGCTGGCCAAGCAAGCTGACCAAGTTATGCAGTAACAGTTGGATTCTGAAATCCGATGAATTGCATACTCAAGGTTGCACCTCATGCAAATCGTCGGGCAGCAGAGATAGCTTCTCCGTAAGTTTGGGGAAGCGGCTCTGCATATGGTGGGTTACATTGCAGCTGTTCCCCCACCAAACATAGTTTTGACGTTAACCTTAAGTCAGGTTTTCTCAGAACCACGACATGCGCCATCTGAGGAGAATGCATGAAATTTCTTGCAGATTGCGAGATACTGTTACTATTAAATGAGCGGCGGCCGTAACCACTTGTGTGGCTTGAAGTGTTGGAAACTCCGTAGGGCCGTTACCAACCCGCAGATACATCTGACTATTCATAGGTAGAAGACTGGCCATTGTCACAATTACCCTACCATATCTACAAAAGAAAATGCTCTATTATTAGCCAACACATCATATGTCTGCAAGCAGGCCATCAAAGCTCCCTCGAGCACTGCAGCAGCAGACTCACAGCCTATTACTTTGGCTCTTCTACTGCAAATCAAAGGCCGAAAAGCCCCTCAGTCAACTCACTTCCCACTACTATCTTCGTCCGGAAGAATGCTTGCTCGCATCGCATCTTCCCGGTTCTTTTCTTTCTGCGCCTCGTAAACCCGGACCTGTTCCAGAAAATATCTGGCATCAGCGGACATAGTATCTGGATCCACCCATCCCCCCATCCTGAAAACCCTGAAGTCAGTGTTTGCTACAGAATCAGTAGAGGAAGTAGGATCAACGTACAGCTCTGGATGAACTGGGATGTTAGACATGTCGAGAGAGCGTTCCCCTGCCCAGGCATCGAGTTTTTCCCAATTCGTGCATTCGTGAGTTACGTCCCAGACAGGGAATGCTGTGTAAGTCAGTTAGTTTCAGGGGGCGTTTTTCTCGACGGTGGAGGGGATCATGTACGTTTCTTGTAGTGTGGAATCCACTCGTAAGTCAAGAGTGAGATGTCGGCTTTGCACATCATCATCATACGTAGGTCATCCAGGCAATGGTCTATATGCACTTCAATATTAGGCTCATCCATCGTGTATTGCTCTGGATGTAAATATTGCCGGATTTGTTTGATACAATGCAGCTAGTATATCCGTTAAATGCTTGCTTACAGCAGATATCACATAAATCTTACCTGATGGTGCACATCGAGGGTCGCTAGATAACCAGAGCCGTCCGGAACTTGGACAGAAGTTTTGTTGATTGCTTCCAAGTCTGCTTTAGAAACTACGATATTCGCGTCTATGACCATTAGCATGCAAATATTATCCAAGGGAAACACAGACAGACTTTCGAGGAGTAAACCCCACGCATCGTCGAGCTCAGGGCGCCATGGGCCTTTGTAAGGGTTTGTGGATGTGAAGAAACCGTCAAAAGTAACACGCTCGTACTCATGCGCTCCTCGAGCAGGTGCTATTATGGAAATTAGCATGGGCAGCATCACCGGTCTTATGAAACACAACTTACAATGGATTAAGTTCGGTCCATGGGTCCATTTCTTATTGTTCCTGTCTAGGAGAACCAGCGTCACAGCAGTGTAAACCATGATGAGAATGACATGGCACAAAACTAGCAGGATTGACTTCTTCCAGTTCCGACTTTCTCGCCTAGTTGAGCGAAGCAGACCAGCATTTTCGAGAAACTCATCTTCCAGTTGCTGCTTTTCGTCAAGCAGATTCTCCGATGAGGTACTGGACATGGGCTGGTTGAGAGGCTCGAATTTGTGGTCCATGATTGACTTGATTTCGACAATTGATGTCTCAAGAAGATGACCATAGAAGGTTGATAGTCGAAGAGGAGGAGAACTTCTCAAGAAAAGTGCAGCGCCTGTCCAAACTTGAAGAATGGGGAAACGAGTAGGCCGAATTAAAAAAGAGAAAATGGAACAAAAAGTGACTTTTAGTCACAAACTGCAATCCAAGGGCGTTTCTTCATCTGGCCAACAACTCGTATGATAGGGAAGGTAACCTCCGAAGCCACTCGCAGTTGAGAGCATAGTATTGCGGCCCGTTGATGCAGGTGATGTCAACGAACA